AAGTTCAGCTGAACCATATGCAAAGGTAGGGATATACGCAAGAGAAAGAGGATCTTGTTCAGATTGCAGAGGAGAAAGATTGTTGCATAAAAGATCTTCAAAAAGATATAGCTATGGCCTGCTTGATGCAAGAGTCCATGAAAAACAAATTCGAAGATGCAATTCTTACACAACTAGATGCAGAAAAAGCCCTTGAGTAGGAGAGGGAGATTCTTTTGAAGATTAAAGATGAGAAAGATTGAACTATAAAGCGCTTTGAGGAGCTGGCTACAGCAATGGAGCAAGATTTATTAGGTGCACTGTGTTTCTCTTTCTCAAAACAAGTGGGAAAATGTGTTAAGGTTAGTGCGCTTAATGAGGCCTTGAAGAATGCAGAATACCTGACAAAGCTAGAAATTGAAGAGAAAAACTCGAAAACAGTGAAATTGGAATTGGAAATTAAGAGTTTGACCGAGAATATTGCACAAACCGAAGAATCATTCTTCCATTTAAAACAAGAAGCAAAGCAGCTTCAAGGATCATTAGAAGTCGAGAAGTTGGAAAATGAAAACTCAGTTCGAGATAAACAGCAGACCATGGAATACATAATTAACGAGGGATAAACTTGTCTTATTTTTATCTCCCTTTCCATCAAAACAGATTTCTCAACAATACCATGGTGAGAGAGGGCAAGTGAATCTGAGATTTTCTTCCATTTTACACTGATATGTGGATAGCTGGGCAATGAGGAATGATGGGTAAGGGAACGTTGTCCTCAACCAAACGGGGAAAAATAAGAAACCCACTTATACTTAGCTGGGCAAATTTTCATATGTCCCGAACCAAACACTGCCTTATAGTCTTTTCTCTCCCTCCCTCGTTCCTATCTTTTCTCTCTCTTCCTTGCGACGGAGAAAACGTCGCCGTTACAACCCTTACGCGAACCCAAAACTCTGAACCTCTAAAGTAAGTTTAATTTTTTTTTGTTATCAATATTATTTCCTTGCTCTCTAAGTGAGAGACTAAACTCCTGGAACGCATTCCGGCGTGGAAGGCGATGGCCTCTATCAACTGTGTTTATTTATCTGTTTATTTTTTCATATATACATGAATCTCAAAATTGAACCGAGTAAGTACTACACGTGTAAAGGACCCAAATTCCTTCTACTCGGGCAAACACATTTTGATTTAGTAAGTTTAAAATTTGGTCATTATATCCATTTTGATTCAGTAAGGGATCCAAATTCCTTCTACTCGAGCAAACACATTTACGAAGAAGATGTCGCCTTTACATTGCGCAAACCCAAATTCTCCAGGAGCTGTTCGAAAATTTCTTTTTTCTTGTAACATTAGCTTAAAAATTGGGGGTTTGGTTTCATCGTACTATGCTGGCCATACAGTTAGATTTTTTGAATTCTCAAATCATAACGAAGAGAAAATTAGGCAATGGTGTTGAGAAAAATTAGATTTCCTGGATTCGTCGCAGGGGAGGAGAGAGAAAGGATGGAAACGAGGGAGAGAGAAAAGAGTAAAAGGATTTTTATTTATCTTTTGAATCTGAACCGTTGGATGAGATTGTAATTCAATGGTGTTGAGAGGGGTAGGTAAAGGTAAGCAAAATAACTTGTCCCATATATATTACATTTACAACTACTTTTATGTTTGTTAAATCAAATCAACGACTCTTACTTAATGTTATTTAGTAACTTTTGATTTGATTTTGATCCAGCAACCATAAAAGTGGTTGTAAGGAAATAAGTTACACTTTCAATCTTGATTGTTATGGGGTTACCAACCTATAATTAACACTTGGCCCCACAAAATGGGCTTGGGAAGATCAACAAGCCTAAATTGCACCAACTATCATCTCCAAATGTTCAACGGTTCAACCTATAAACTCCCCTCAGGGGTGCAAATGAATCAAATAACCCAACCTTCGCCAGGCTAAGTGTGATCTATTATATATAGTAAAATAAAATACACTTAAACCTTTAAAATAGCTTATTGAGAAAGCATTCTATAAGTTTTCTTTTACATGGCTCGACCTCTAAGTCAATAGGCTGTCCTATATCATATTGTTTATTTTAAATAAATAAAATAATTTTGAATAATAAAATAATATTTTTTAATTATTATTATTTTAATTCTTGAATGCCTAAAAGGCTTAAATAAGCTAACAGGCCTAGAACATGCCTTTTATTTTTAAAATATAGGATAAGTCATACTTGTAATTTGGCCTACTCTACGTTAATATACCAGATCTGATTTTAAATATTTTACACAGACCTGACTTATTTAAATCAAAGTTTGTATTGACAAAAAATTGACACGAAAAAATTTGTATTGTGTTATATATCAACTCACAAATACAAAATTAACCCGCATTAATCTTCTTATATATTATTGATATTGTGTTGTGTCGTGTCAAATCGCACAATAAATAACACACTTTGATGTTGGCAAATTATTTATATCGTGTTATATGCAAAATAGACATACCATATTTTTGACATATTTTCAAATTCATGACGGATAATTCATGTTTGTATCATATCGTATTAACTCGAATTATCACCCTGTTGAATACCGCCAAAGCACCCACTATTATGTGGGTTCCTTCTTAGAAGTTTATAATCCTTCTCCTTTAGACCACTCTCCAAAAGTTCAATTGCCTTGTATATATATTAGCACAATCGGTTGTTTAAAGAAGAGTTTAAAAACGTCATGCAAAAGTAGGTTTTATAAGGATAAGGAAATGCAATGGTCGAAGTAGCGGTTGTGTAGGTGAGGATAAAAGGATAATGCCAACATACTTAATGAACGGATAAATTGTTTCATTTCTCACCTATACGTACAAGGGTTTTTAACACTTACTGAAAAGATAATATGATAATCCAATTTTTGAGAGTCACACTTTTTTGAAAAGATTTAGGCTTAAACTTTAAATCAGATTTTTTTTTTGTATACTGGTTGGGGATAAAACCCCAAGCAGGCTAAAGAGAAAAAAATATAACAAGTTCTACCAAAGTCACATAAATCAGCTAAATACATAAAATAAATATCGAAGGGGGACCAAGAAAGAGAAATCTTCTTGTGCCGAATTCACCAATGAAAGACTTGAGAGCCAATTCGCACAACAATTTTCTTTTTCTTGTACATGTGCTTTATCTTTACATTCCATTCTCTGTCTATCCATGCCTGTAAGCAAGTAACATGATGTGATCTATAGGCTGACTCACCCCTTGAGGTGAGCCACATGACTGCAGTTTTTGAATCACTTTCGATGATTACCTTCCTCCATCCATCCTCCCAAACTATTTGAATTCCCTTCAACATGCTCCACAATTCTACCACTATAGCATTGCAATGCCCAATTCGATAAGAGAACCCAATCAGCACCGGGTTCCCTTTGGCAACACCATCATTATTCACTTTTACCCAACCCACATCCGACAATTGCCAACAAATTGGAGTCTCCTTTTTTTCTCTGCACAAATAGCATCGTTCCTTCTCTTTCAATAGTTTCCAGCAATAGTACATATGTCTTTTGCTTGACAAGTTATAAAGTTGAGGTTGCAAGCATTGTGTAGATTTTGGACTTCATGAATTTTCCTAACTCGAAACCAGATTAGTGGGGGATTGATTAGGACTTCGAAAACCAATTGACAATTGTATATATAAAAAAGATAGTTTTATACAAAAGTGTTAAAATAAATACTATAAATAATTGTGCATTAAAATATTAATACATGTGAATATAAAAATCTTTTACACTCACACTAACACTAATTAAATTCATACATGCTTCATTCTCACTTATGTGTAATGAGATATGGAATGAAATTACCATTCCAAAGAGTCCTTTATTTTTCTTAAATAAACGTGAAATGACATTACCCTTCCTGGGTATAAATGTCACATTTTTGAAGTAGATTCACAAGATTATAATTCATAGAAATAAACTATTAGTGTGCCCAAAACCAAAAATTGGCCCATAGTCTGGTGTGTAAGATAATGTGCACAAAATAGCCCAAGATGGAAATTCACACATGACACATTCACACGTAGGGGTGGTAAACGAGCCAGGGGCCTTTCAGGGGCCTTTGGCTCGGCTCGTAAAGGCCTGAGTTCGTTTAATAAAAGCTCATGTTGGAACCAGACTTAGACTTATATAAAAGCTCGTTTAATAAAAAGGCCTCAGGCTCTAATTCAGAAGCTCGGCCTTAGAGCCTCCCAGGCTAGCCTAGTATATAAATATTTATTTATACTTTTTATACTACTTGTAATAACTCTCTCTCATCAATTTATTTCACCTCATTTTATTGGTTTAACCGACTTTTTGAATGATTTTGTTCTATATTATGCTATTTGGATATATATTGAATTTATGTATATTTATGGAATTACTAGTGATGTTCTATATTATCTTTCATCCTCCTTCACACAAACAAACCCACAAAAACTCATTCGTTCCACTGTGCACTGCTCGTTTGTGTCAATTTATTTTTTATTTTATTTATTTTATTTTTATTTTTGTTGGCACTTTTTTATAATGGGCTAAGATAATATAACCTGTTATCTACCTTCTCTCACTTTAATTTTTTTTATTTATTGTAGACTTTGTAAATTATTGCTGCAAATTGAAAGCTAAGGTTTCTATCTGGAAATTGATTTTTTGTGAAATTCTGTTCTCTTATTTTTATTCTTTAACATGCTAACAGGCTAAGACAGGCTTTTATTTTTTGTAAATAAACCAGGCCACATGCCAATATTATATTCGTAACAGGTAACAATATGCTAAGGCTAGTCGAACACGTTTAAATACAGGCTTGGCCCGTTAAGATCAAAGCTCGGCTCGGCTCGGCCCGTTAACACCCCTATTCACACGGTACGGTTAAACCAAAAGCCTAAATAAAATTTCACCAATTCGTCATTAATTTTATTCAATTTCATTTTCAATGTAACCTTTCTCATTTTTCAGCAACGTAAATTTACTAATATAGTCCGTGTTGTGTTGAGTTCTCTTCTTCTGCTCTGTTCTCTCTCTCTCTCTCTCTCTGAGCCTTCACCACCATGTCCTTCGAATCCCGATCTCTTTCCTTCTACTTTCTCTTTCTATGTCTCTTCCTTTCTTCGGCCTTCGCTTCCGAGTCAGATCACAAGGTAATTCCTCATTTTCCAAACCTGTGTGCTTCTTCTTTCTTATCTATTTTTTTCTTTCTTTCTGATTCTACGCTTTGATCTACTATTTGTTTTGCTGAATTGGACTTTGGATCTGCAAGAAGTGTGGATTTTTAGCTGTTACTAGGACTGAATTTGAATCTATTAGCTTTAGATTTTTTATTTTTTATTTTTGGAATTGCTTTAGGAATGGAATTGTTGGGTTTTTAGAGTGTTAGATCTCAACTGGGTTTTTGTTTGTGCTGACCTAGGTGTCTTCACAACGTTGGTGTGTGTTCACTGTTCAATGCTTAGCATTTTCTTTTTGTATGAGATTCAATTTAACTTCCCTTTCAGTTATGTTATTAATTGACAATCTTGGAATATGTCTTCTTTATTTTTAATGTTAAAAAGTCCCTATATTGCTGAGCTAGTTTATTTTTCTCAAGGTATGACGATTTTTTAGTTTCAAAGTTGAGAGTGGAGTTAAGCTTGGGTATTTTGAAACACCAAACTGTATAGAGGTGTAAGGCGAGGACAACTTGCCTGGTGATTAGCCTTCGGTATCTAGTTTGTTGTTGTATGCATCAATTGTCATTGCAGCCATAAGAGGACCCACAGATAGATGTGTGCAACGAAACATCAGCTGAAATTGGTCAGAAAGACAATTTGTTGTTGTTCAGTTGTTTTACTCTTAGCTTACACACATTATGCCAGCATGTATGCAAGATGGTTTTTAGTCGTCTGTGCTTTCAGTCAGCAATCGTTTTAGTATTGCAAAAAGTTTGATGTGGAGCACGGTAACCCTATTTGTATACCTTGTTTTATAGGTTAGACAGTATAGTGGTTTCAAGAGTTGTTAGTCCTCTCTGCAGTCTGTTAGCAATCTTTTTAGATTTGAAAAGGTTCAAATGAGAAAGATTGGTTGAAAATAATTGAATATGTCGAGTTTACTGGGCATCAGGAGGTTGTGTGTCAAATTCTGCCCTTTCATTAAAAGTTTTAAATATTTGATTAGTATGATTGACTTAGATATGCTTTCAATGCCCTTAATTACTGTTTCAGATCAGGGCATTATCTTATGTGTTATGTTTATTGCTTCATCTAACAACATGATTATCTGGTTCTCTGAATATTTAAAATTTGCTCCATAGATGTAAACCTTTGATTTTCATTATTTAATGTAATTTGAAATTGACTTTATTTGGAAATTCATTGCATCATTTATTACATGTATGCTAAAAGGTTTAAAATATTGAGCTTCACATTACACTCTGCAATATGTGGTGTCTTAATATTTTTTGTAGGAATCTACCATAAATTAAATCATTGATTATCATACTGAACTGAGTTCAAAGTATAAATCACTTTGATAATTTAGCATCTGTTACTCTTCTCTTTCTTTCTTTCTTTTTTTTTAAATTTTTCCCCATTTTTTTGCCTAATGGCCATTTTATGTTTCAATATATCCTTGCTTCTTCTATGGGTGTGGTTGTCTACTTCTCAATATCCTTAATTAGTTGTGACTTTTAACCCAACCTTTATATCAGTTATCCCAGAGTCTTTTTTCCCATTGAGCTAGTGATACGGATTAAATGTGTATCTTTCATTTGTAGTTTCAAGCATTGAATGGCTTCTGTTTTAAAAGGATGTATTTTATTTCATTGCAGTATCAACGAGATGATCCAGTTACCCTTTGGGTGAACAAAGTTGGTCCTTATAACAATCCTCAAGAAACATACAACTATTACAGCCTCCCATTTTGTCATCCATCTGGTAGTGCTAGTGCTGCACACAAATGGGGTGGTCTTGGTGAGGTCTTGGGGGGCAATGAACTCATTGATAGCCAAATTGAGATAAAGTTTCTAAGTATGAAGGTTTCTGTTGGATTATTTATTTCATAGAAAGTCTTTCAGTAGACAAACCAGCTTTAATGGATACTCTTGTTTTCAGGAAATGTGGATAAGACTGTCTTTTGCCAGATAGCTCTCGATGATGCAAAGGTTAAACAGTTCAAGGATGCTATAGAAAATAATTACTGGTTTGAATTCTTCATGGGTATGTTTTGTATTATTTCTTTCACTTGTTACTCTGAGAAGTTATAGAATGATTGCACTCTCAAGAAATGTTGAAAGCTTGCAGAATTTTTTTCTTTGGGCATTACATTGACTTGAAGGATAACATAACCACAGCACAAAAACATAGAACAGAAGCGACCAAAAATACCTAAAAACTAAAAAACACGCATCACTATACTTGGGGGGAAGAACATGCATTTGACTGAAGAACACAAACCAAGGAGCTGAGGTAAATAATATGTCCATTCCATAGGACATAGCCCCTTGTTCGTTGTCTTTGCCATCCAATCGATTGAATTATTTTACAACCTTGGAATCAACACCAGGGAGATCCCATTAGAAGAGGCCAGCAGTAGTTTTAGGTCATGAAATCTTCCAATTAACCCTAGAGGAGATTGAGCAAGCCATGAAAAGGTCTTGAGAATCAGTTTTAAGATGTACCGGAATAGGGGAGAAATCATGGAGCTTCTGGAGCTAGACTCCAAGAGGAGGCACTTCCTGGATCTGGGCCTGGGTGTCACTGTCTTGGTCAACCGCACTGATAACTTACTGTTACTTCATAATTGATATGGATACAGAATACTGATGTTTGTCAAAGAATTGTGATTTCTTGGAAGTTTAGATTGCACTTGTACTCAGTGGAATTGTTTTGGAAATGTTGGAAGGTCTAGTTTAATGCTACTAGATTAAGTTATTTGATGCATGCATTTGCTGCTTTTTGTGCAATAGACTCAGATGAAAATTATTTTTAAGATTCCTTTGAAATTTAAGAAATGAACTCAACCTGATTCTTTATGCTGTGATGATGGAATTAATGATATAAAAAAAATAGACAGAAAATGAGTTAAAGTTTACGGGACATTATTTGATGCATGCATTTGCTGCTTTTTGTGCAATAGACTCAGATGAAAATTATTTTTAAGATTCCTTTGAAATTTAAGAAATGAACTCAACCTGATTCTTTATGCTGTGATGATGGAATTAATGATATAAAAAAAATAGACAGAAAATGAGTTAAAGTTTACGGGACATCTTTCTTGGCTTTCTTATGTGGCTGACAACTAATTTAAATTATGTGCATTCGTTCCCTATCTGCTTTTGCAAACAAGACTGATATGGTTTTAATAAAATTAGAAAATTATATTACGTAAGTTATTTATGTCAATTAAGAATAGATTTGTTAGCAGTTAGGTTGTTATTTTCATTAAGTGAGTATGATTATCCTGTACACATTTACATGAATACATTTATCTTTGGCTTTGACATTGTACTGCTTGATCCACTGACTGTATATACTTCAGCTTGGAAGCAATGCCTTGCTTCATTTTGATCATGTAATTACTATAATCTGAGGATCGACCAGGCTGGGTGTTTTGTGATATTTATAGTCACCAGAAATGAAAGAAGTATTAAGTTACGATTTTTTTTATGTGAAATCGTTTCTTAAGAATTCTTGAATATCTTAGTGAGTGTTAGTTTTCTGTATTATAATCACTGAAAGGGAAATAAGTATGAAATTAAAAATTCTTCATGAAGTCATTTCTTAAGCATTTTTTAATAACTTAGTGAGTTTTAGATAATCCATATTATGCTATCTTGATTGTCATAATGTTGCTGAGTAAGGATTTGTTCTGGAGGTTGCTCCTCATTTTTTGTTTCATAATTTAATAATTCTTGGTTTTTGTTTCCTTTCTTTTGCTGAATAACTCACTTGCATTTTTTCTTTCTTATTTCTTTTGGTCTGCTCTGCGATGCGATAAACGCAAGTTCAGATGATCTACCTTTGTGGGGTATGCTTAGAACTTCTCTAGTTTTCTTTATTTGATATGATTTTGCGTTTCATTTGTGGATCATTATCAAAGATACTTTTGTTCTTGTTTAAGGGTATGTTGGTGAGCTACATCCTGATAAGAACAGTGATAATGGCAAGCATGTCCTTTACACGCACAAGAACATTATTGTTAAATATAATAAAGATCAGGTCAGAAGTTATTTAAATATCTTACTCGATGTTATGAGGGGTTTGGGATCCCTGAAGTTTCATGTTTAGGTATGTTTCCTTGCAGATTATTCATGTTAATCTCACTCAGGATTTCCCAAAGACTTTGGAAGCAGGAAAACATTTGGACATGACATACACTGTCAAATGGATTTCTACTAATGTCACTTTCGGACGCCGCTTTGATGTCTACTTGGACTATCCTTTCTTTGAGCATCAGGTACATCTTTGTTTTTAAGATTGAAGTGGTGTTTATGGTTGGTTAATTGCAATGTGTTCATCCATGTTGATCTTACCTGAGCTTTGTCACTGAGAATTTTGCTCGTCTGTTTTTTTTTTTTTTTTTTTGTTCTTTCTAGATTCATTGGTTCTCCATTTTTAACTCTTTCATGATGGTCATCTTCCTTACTGGATTGGTGTCGATGATATTGATGCGAACTCTGAGAAATGACTATGCAAAATATGCTCGGGAAGATGATGACTTAGAAACTCTGGTGATGGTTTTGTAACTTTTATCTGTTCTTATTTATTTATGGAATGTGAGTTCTGTCTTCCTTGAAAAATTGTGATTATAATTGTCATATTTTGGTCATTACTTACATGCTTACAGGAGAGAGATGTTAGTGAAGAATCTGGCTGGAAACTTGTGCATGGTGATGTTTTCCGGCCTCCTCGCTATTTAGTTCTTCTTTCAGCTGTTGTTGGCACAGGTGCTCAGCTAGCATTGCTGGTTCTTCTTGTCATCTTGTTGGCTATTGTTGGGATGTTGTATGTCGGGTATGTGCATAACATTCAACTGACCGTACCATTAGTCTGAATAATGATTTTAATGGTGTTTTAGTTGTGTACAAATTTTACTTCATGTGATAAGCGCATGGCAATTGCTGCTTGTATATCTCAGCCATATATACATCGTACTAGATTTCTGATGGACTTTTTGATTTTTGTCCCTCTCTCTTTCATGCATTTTCATGTAATTTTCCTTCATTGTGTGTCTCAGGCGAGGAGCAATTGTCACAACCTTCATTGTTTGTTATGCTCTCACATCATTCATTTCTGGTTATGTGAGTGGGGGAATGTACTCACGAAATGGGGGTAAGAATCTCACTTAAGTTGCTTCATGTTCTCTTCAAGTTTGTTTGGGTGCTTTGTGTGAGCCTTGCCTTTTTTGTTTTGGATGATTGTATAACTATTTTTATGTGTATGTTAGGTAAAGGCTGGATTAAATCCATGATCCTTACAGCTTCTCTGTTCCCATTCATGTGCTTTGGAATTGGATTTATCTTAAACACAATTGCTATATTCTATGGGTCTCTAGCAGCAATCCCATTTGGCACAATGGTGGTTGTTTTTGTCATTTGGGCTTTCATCTCTTTTCCTTTAGCACTTCTTGGCACAGTTGTTGGAAGAAACTGGAGTGGTGCTCCAAATAATCCCTGTCGTGTAAAGACTATTCCTCGACCCATTCCCGAGAAGAAGTGGTACCTCACACCCTCTGTGGTTTCTCTGATGGGAGGACTGCTACCTTTTGGCAGCATATTCATTGAAATGTATTTTGTGTTTACTTCCTTTTGGAATTACAAGGTGACCTGCAGCACTGACTTATTTCAGTAATATATATATTTTTTACTTTTTGTTTTGGTTACAAAATTTACTTGTGCCTTATCAGAGCAGAGCAATATCAAGGAAAATATTTTCTTGATGATGGTCTTTTTAAGTAAATATGTTTATATTTCAGTGGAAGCTGAATGAACATGATCACTGTTGGCTTATATATTTTTTCCTCCTGTGACAAACAGGTGTACTATGTGTATGGCTTTATGCTACTGGTTTTTCTGATTCTCATCATTGTTACTGTTTGTGTGACAATTGTGGGGACGTACTTTTTGTTAAATGCTGAGAACTACCACTGGCAATGGACTTCTTTCTTTTCAGCTGCATCAACAGCTGTTTATGTGTATTTGTACTCAATATACTACTATTATGTGAAGACGAAAATGTCAGGCTTCTTCCAAACCAGCTTCTATTTTGGATACACTTTGATGTTTTCTCTTGGACTAGGAATTCTATGTGGTAAGTCTTCTTTAGTTTGATTGTAGGTTTTCACTCTACAGATGTGTTGGCATATCTTATCATGCACTGAATAAACCGCATTTCTTCCTATAGTCCTGCATGAATCCTTGTGCTCTTATCACCTGAATTGGGTTAAAGTTTTGCTTCAAATGTGCAGGAGCTGTGGGTTTTCTTGGTTCAAATTTGTTTGTGAGGAGGATCTACAGAAACATCAAGTGCGATTAAGGTTTTCTGAGTCAGACCTGAGCACTTCCATAGGTTTGTTGCTGGAGACATTAAATTATTGGAGGAAGCCTCTGGTCATGTGTGGGGAACCTAACAATGTTTACAGGTAGTATCACAGGGTTCTGGAAATGAGGATGTATTCTTTTTCTATATTGGGGAAGCCCTGAGATTTTTTTCCCTGGCTGTAATTGATTGTCTTTATAATTTTAGATAGTTAGTACAATATCCGACTCTCGTGGTTATTGTTTCATCCCTTTAAAAATAGGGGCCCATTGAAGGACTGATGTCTAATTCCCCAACATGGTTTCAACTATTCAATGTATGTAAGAGGGGATGAAGTCTCGGAAATCGAATTTTGTGCGTCTGAATTTTGTATGGAGATCTGAATATCATTCTTAATCTGCTTCCTTCACACCCATTCATGTTTAAACTTTTATTATTACTTGCATTTGTCTATGGGTGGGTATATATATATTTTCAATGTCATAATGGAAGACAGTCATTCTGGATGGAACCCGAGACCCCGACCACTGTTAATCTTATATGCTGCTCCTTCAAGCTGTATTGCAGTGATTCTGGCAAATAATAATTGTAATTAGGTAAACAGTTTTTGCTACTGTGCTTCTTGACAGTGCATTATTTTTGTCAGCTTTGGTCTTAGTCCGGATTTTAGTGGACCATGGTGTTTGAACGCAGCATTGCAAGGATAAATATTCAATGTAAGGTATCTTTTGCCTTCTCTTATAATATTCCTTCAAACAAGGATAAGCATTTAATAGAAGGTATCTTTTGCCTTCCCTTAGAATATTCCTTCAAACAAGGACCGTCACAATTTTTGTAAGCAAGCTTCTTTCAATTGCAGATGTTACAGTTGAATTTGGCTAGAGTGTAAATGAAACTTAAAGATTTTTACTCAATTCCTAATGTGAAAAAGTTCGAGTTTGATGAGAAAAGTTTACGTAAAACCACCAAATAAATACTATTATAGATGTGCAGGGTTTGTAATAAGATAGTTATGAAATCAGAATTACTTGTTTGAAATAAGGTAATACTTTTTTAGCTGTAAGAGGATGCAGTAGCTTGGGATGTCTTGCTGGGAGAATAATGCAGTTCTTTTTCTTCTCTCTCTTCATTGCTTTTCAATAATTTTTTGGGCTTGTAGACATCTCAAAATATATCGCTGCTTCTGTGACAAATATGAGTTGCAAGCTGAACTTTGTGCCACTAATGTGCTCCTTATTCCCTACCCGTCCGTAACTGGAGTTCTGGAAACCATTCATGTGAATAGATTTCTTGTATACAATGGCTTTAAATTTATGAGTTTAATGTTTATTATTTTATAGTGTGTGGCGATAAATTTTGTCTAGCTTTTACACAGACATAAACTGTATGAGATTCATGTTGACTCATGTGAAGAGAAGAAAAAAAAAAAAAATGAGTTCAACACACTTTTGTGTGTGTGCTCGGGGGATAAATAAATTTATCTAACACGAGAAACAATAAATTTTAAATTTATTTATAAAGAGCAGTAAAAGATCTAATCAATTTTTCATGGAGATAAGATATTCTTATTACTAAATATTTCTACTATCAATCTAATATAATTATGTACTAGTGTAGTATATCAAAAATTATTTTTCTTTTCTTTTTTTATAAATTTTTTAAAAATTGTCGATTGAAAAGTGAAATTCAAGTATTGAAAAAGTGATAATAAATAAGAATATCTTACCTATTTTTCATGGGCCAAAATTTGTTAGCCTTTGGAAACTCGTGAGAAGAGGATTGTGCCAACCACAATCACCTACAACCAATGATGATACCGGAGATAACAAAGCAAGGTGTCAAATGCTGCCACGTAGCAGATAGGGTTCCATAGCACTTTCCATCGCTACTTAAACACACTATTTCCACAAGCTCACCCGTTATCACCACCACAAACAAGTCCTAGCTAGTTTGCTATCCTCTCTTGTTCCACCTACCACTCTTTCTTTGCAACACCAAAAAAGTAATGGCAACCACACCAGCACTCTCTGGAACCATGGTGAGCACCTCCTTCCTGAGGAGGCAGCCAGTGAAGGCATTCCCGAACGTGGGTCAGGCTCTTTTTGGTGTTAAAGGTGGACGTGGAGCTGGTCGTATCACTGCCATGGCAACTCACAAGGTCAAGCTCATTACCCCAGATGGCCCTCTAGAATTTGAATGCCCAGATGATGTTTACGTTCTTGACCATGCTGAGGAACAAGGCATTGAGATTCCTTACTCATGCAGGGCTGGTTCTTGCTCTTCATGTGCTGGCAAAGTTGTGGAAGGGAAAGTGGACCAATCAGATGGTAGCTTCCTTGATGATGATCAAATAGAGAGTGGATTTGTTCTTACCTGTGTTGCTTACCCTCAGTCAGATGTTGTTATTGAGACCCACAAGGAGGAAGAGCTCACTGCTTAAGAATGATATGATATGATATGATATGTGTGTTACCATAAATTGCTAGCTTTTATCTTATATTTCTGTTCTATTTTGTGTTTTGTTTGTGAATTTGCAAGCTGAATGAACTCACTGGCCTTTTCTGAGGATATGGTTGTTTATGCTTTCTTAAGAATGAGTTATTAGTTTCTGATTTAATTCCTTCATCTGTGGTAAAAAGTGGTATTGTCGTTGCTTTAATCATTTTTTTCGTTGTTTCTGTTAAGAACCTTGAGGTCACCACTCCAAAAGCTAGCTCAAAGGGTGGAAGTGCTCAAAACCTTATAAACTCCACATTAGTTGCACATACAACCAACGTGAGACTATATATCTCAACAGTTTCTGCACATGTTTGCTTGTCTGAGACATTTTCAGGGAATCTCTTGTTTTTCTTCCTCTTCTTTTCCCCTTGCTGGGGTTGAGTTAGAGTTTTGGTTTTGGTAGTAAATTACGAGCAAAATTTTAATGCTTCGTGCATATATTTTGGAAGTAATTGAACATGTGTGACCAATAGCGAAGCTCATACGTGATGAGATAAGTTTAAACAAAAAAAAAATACTCCTGGTTAAACGATTTGCGAGTGTACCGTGGAGGTAAGTTTAAAAAAAATAAAAATGTAGTGAGATAACACTACCAGGGAGAAAATTAAGTCGAGAGAAAATGCTAACACTTGTAAATTATAGCAATAAGCTAATAGATATTTTCATTAAGCTTAACAAAGTTTAATTTGTACCCGTTTGACCTATTTTCAGTTTCTTTGTTCCTTTTGTGCATAAGCAAGGAAAAGTTGGGACACGTTGTTAAACAAGTTATTAAAACAAGTATCCTTTTTTTTAACGAAGATGAATGAAGAATTACGAGGAACAGTGATCAAAGTGACATACTGTTCATCAACTTTTTTACTTAAATGTCACGCGAACAGTCTTATTTATCAATCTGTCATGGGGGCAAGTTCGCTACCCGGTGTAGCGAACTCGGTTTGCTGACGTGTCACATTTCTAATGGATAACAAGTACCAAATTAAAACCAAGTTCGCTACCCCGTGTAGCGAATTTGGTGTCCACTAGAAACGTGACACGTCAGCAAACCGAGTTCGTTACATCTTGTAGCGAACTCGCTCTCGTGGCAGATTGGACTATAAGACTGTTCGCGTAGTATTTTGGTAAAAAAGTTGATGAAGAATGACATTTTCCGAATTATGATGCTTGTCCGTGAGTCCTTCTCATCCAATTCCACACCCACGCGCTGCACAATATGCCTTATGCTAATGCCACTAGCATTTTCACCCACACCCAAAACCCAAGATTCTCCTCTTCAATTTCATGATCAAAGGCTATTCTTACAAGCAAACTTTCTCTCATCACGATTCACGGTCACGTCATTTCCCAAAAACGATTACATTTTCTCGCGCCTTTGCTCAAGTCCAGTTTGAATTCCTGCCCATGTTGTTGGATTTGGGGTTTGCAAGCCACATTTCCCACTCGTGCTGTGAAAGTGGAGTTCTATGTAAGGGAGTAGTCTTGCACAGTTCCATACAAGACCGGTGCCACGTGTTGCATGCAAGTAAGATTTGAGATTTAGTCTGAATAAAAATTAGGGAAAAGTTCACCAATGCCCCTATAGTTTACTACAGAATCACTTATGTCCCTGTGGTTTTTTTTCGATCACATATGCTCATTTGCTTTGTAAAAACTAAGAAACCACAGTGACATATGTGATAAAAAACTTACCTTTTTACAAACCACAGGGCATATGTGATAAGAAAAAAACCACATGGGCATAAGTGATTCTGAAGTAAACCACAAGAACATTGGTGAACTTTTCCCTAAAAATTAATCACATGGTTAATTTTTTAAGGCTAGTCTTGCGAGTTTTGAGAAATTAATCACGGTTGAATCGTGATTAATTTTTTTCAAATATCATAGAGAACGACATATGAAATCAAAACGCACATGAATAATCCTATATGGATAGGATGCGGGATTCATTGGATTAGATTAATGCTATATTTGAAAATAATTGTTTGGTGGTGAACGAACACCAATGTCTATCTGAAGAGATAGTAATTGTTTATACGAACAGGGTGAAAAAGATGACCGACAATTATGAGATTAATGCCTTCAACTAAAGTCTGATGGTTATACTGAAAAGAGATGAGTGTGTGAATTCTGGAAATGGTGAGAACTCCAGGGTATAAATGTGTTGTATAATGCGATGAGTACATGTGTATTGTTGATATATTTATGGGAAAAACTATTTTTATGGTATAAATTTTTCTCTTACACACATTTCGATAACTGTGCCACTTTTTTTTTTTTTTTTTTCAGATGGTAGAGTCCACAAATTTATCTCTATGACATGAAATAACTTATCTCTTTTAACATGAGATTAATAAAACTCTATATTTATATTGACCTTAGGAGCGTTTATTGTAATGTGGCCTTAGAACAGTTACTCCTAGATGGTGGTGGTGGATGCTAGAATAGGGGGAAGATCGTGGTTAGACACACAACCCAAGCTTATGGGTTTTGGCAGGTAAAGTCCTCTTCAAATGAGAAGCCATACCTACCTGGCCTTAAACCCTTCTAACAGGAATCAGGATCATACCCGGAACAATAATATATTTTGTTTTAAAATTGCATTACAATGGCCATTTTGCCAAAGTCAAAATAATATTGAACAACTTTATTTTTATTTTTTAAGATATTATTTTTAATTTTAACTTAAACAAAAAACCAAATTAAAGGTAAATAGGTTAATAGGCTCTTTTATTCTCTTGCTGTTCTGGATTAAAGGGATATTTCATTTACGTCTATTAGTATTTTGATACATCATTGTTTAATATTATTATTTTCTCAATTTTAAAATCAATACAATAATTAATGACACATTTTAAAAAATTTAAAAAATGCCAATATAATTTTTTTTATTCTAATAATAAATATTAATCAAATGAAAATATGAAATTAATATGCATTGATCACTCATGTATAGACAAAATTTATGATGATGCTTTATTCTAACTCTTTATCTTTTGTTAAATTGATTATTATTTTTTATTAGTTAAATCTATGATGATACTACATCTTTACTTTCTCTCTTATTATCGTTAATTTGTCTATAAACAATTAACACCGTTTCACATTATATTATATGACATGAAAAAATATATTTTTGATTGAATACACCTTGGGTATAAGCAGAAAGTGCATGAACAAATAGATTATATATTTGTTCATAAAACACAATTTGTGTATAAGGAAAAAAATATACCCTTAATTTTCTGCCGCGGCGGCCGATAAGATGTCTATGCTAGAGAGACATTTTTTTAAAAAAAATTGGAATCCACTAATTGAAAAATAAATAAAAAATTACACCATACATTCTCGAAAATTTACTTTGTGCGGCAAAAAATTATTTTTGAAGTAAAGGTAGAAATAATTTTCTGTAAATTTAATATGTTGCCTTTATAATATGTTCAGTTCAAATTTGAATCAAACATAGGATGGTTTATAATAAAAAAAGAATTAAGTTAAATTTACAAAAAATAATTACAAATTATACTATGTATTAATATGGGGTTTTATATTTATCATTCAACATGAGAATTGAATTCTCATGTTGTAGAGACAAAAAATATATGGGATCCGTATGTTAGAAAAAAATTATGTGTAGAATCCACGTTGGCACGGAGATCGAAGTGTGTAGAAAAATTCAAATTCTCATATTAAATGAGAATTATAAAACCCATTAATATGTACTATCCATAATAAATAATATAATTTGTAAGAGTTTGTAAATAAAAAATTTGTAAATCTAATAAAAAAAAGTGAACGAATACATTATACAATTTTTTACGCATAGGACAATTATGGTTGTAATCTGAGTATTATTTTTGCTCTATCTTCAAGTAAACAATGATATATCTTTTTTTCTATGTTATCTTTATCTCTAATTACTGCAGAAAAAGAAAAACTGTATGTAGCCCGACAGAGATAGTTAGAGAGCACGGAAGTCCCATGGTTCCATGCAAACTCTATTAATGTTTCCAATGACTGTGTGTCTCCACTAGCTTCCACCTCACCAATCTTTCTCTCTCTTTTCTGTTTTTATAGTTGTTTTATTATTATTTTCTCTCATGCATTGTTTTCGTTTTGAATTTGCCAATTCTGGAATTGAAAAATTAAAAGAGAGAGAGAGAGATATGGGTTCCAAACTTCCAATTCCATGAGATTTCCCACTATTTTCGACCTCCGAAACCTCTCTCTTGCTTCTTGTGGATGTTGTGTTGGACCATGCAATGGAACCTTGTTATCTGAATCTCACATATATTTCTTTTCTTTTCTTTTCTTTTCTTTTTTCTTTTTTTAATTTCATATCATTGGCTTCTTCTTCTTGTCTCTTTTCTCCAGATTATAATAATAACTTTTTAATCTCTTTGGTAAAGAGACTAGGACCTGAGAATTAGTTGAAGAGAGAGATGTTGATGTTGATGTTGGGCTTGGCTTCGTGCATGTTTTCCATACAACCAAAGGATGATGATATGAGTTAACTATAAGGATCTTAAGGTGGTCAACATATTCTGTTTTTGGAACCATTACCCATAATGCGGTTCATTTAGAATTTGGTTTTTAGAAATATGCATCCTTGAGTTCTCAGGTTGAAAATGGATGGTCAGGGTGACACTCTCCATAAGCATCCAAAGAAGGAGCATGAAGGCCCTAAGGAACCACATGTTTTCTTACATGGGGACTTGGATCTGGTGATCATAGAAGCCAAGTCTCTTCCTAATTTAGATTTATCTTCTGAAGCAGTTAGAAAATGTATCACTATGGGCAACATGTGCACACCTCCCTTTGTAAAGGGACTTAAGACACACTCTGGAAAAGATAAGATGATAACTAGTGACCCTTATGTATCTGTGTGCCTAGCTGGGGCTACAATAGCTCAAACTAGAGTTATTGCTAACTGTGAGAACCCTCTGTGGGATGAGCAATTTGTTGTCCCTGTTGCTCACCCTGTTCAAAAAGTGGAGTTTCTTGTCAAGGATAATGATGTTCTTGGGGCAGAACTCATTGGAGTAGTGGAGATACCTGTTCAAAAGATACTGTCAGGAAATACTATTAATGATTGGTTTCCCATCATTGGTCAATATGGAAACTGCTTAAAACCTTATCCTGAGTTACATATTTCTGTTCAGTTTAGGCCAATTGGAGTGAACCCTTCAGAAAATGGGGATAGGACAGATTATCTAGGAGTTCCTAAAACATATTTCCCTCTCAGGAAAGGAGGGAGTGTGACTCTATATCAAGATGCACATATACCAGATGGTATGCTACCTCAAATTTCACTTGAGGGTGGAAAAGTATATCAACACAGTAAATGTTGGGAGGATATATGCCATGCAATTTTGGAAGCTCATCACCTAATATATGTTGTAGGATGGTCAGTTTACCACAAAATAAAGCTTGTAAGAGAGCCAACAAAACCATTACCTTCTGGGGGAGAGCTTTCACTTGGAGAGCTGTTGAAATACAAGTCACAAGAAGGACTCCGAGTGGTTATGCTGATTTGGGATGACAGAACGTCACATGACAAGTTTCTTTTGAAAACAGTAATTCTCACTACCCTTTATGAGAAAATTAAACATGATTTCTATACTGAATTATTGCTTTAATTTCCAATTATAATTTCTGTCATGAGACATTATATTGATTCTATTGCTTTTAGTTGTTCAAAGGGAAAAAGACCTATTAAGGAGAAAATTGGGTGGGTTCTGCAGTAAAAGATAATTGGATTTGCTTAAACTGTCTCATGTACTATTAATCTTTGGTACTGAAATGCTAGGCTGTTAAGATTCCTAAAATTCAAGTTTTAGTGGATTATTCTAGACATAGTTGCATAAAATTCTTGCACTCCAATGTCTCTAATATTCATAATTGATGTACATAATAAACATTGATTTTCTTGATTGCAGGATGGTGTCATGCAGACTCACGATGAAGAAACTAAGAAGTTTTTCAAAAATTCCACTGTTCATTGTGTGCTATCTCCTCGCTATGCAAGCAATAAGCTCAGTATTTTCAAGCAACAGGCATGGAGATCCTGCACTTGAATTCAAAACTTTGTTGGATAAAGATACTACTTCACATAACCACCCATTTCATTATTTCATTACTGGAAGACTTCACATTAATTAATAGTGATAGATATAAGATCTAGTAGTGTACTTTTTTCCTTTTCAGTTAAAACAGTTCCAATTTGATTGAATCTTTTGGTTCAGGTTGTGGGAACCCTCTTTACGCATCACCAGAAATGTGTGCTTGTAGACACTCAAGCTTCTGGGAATAATCGTAAAATAACTGCTTTTATTGGTGGCTTGGATCTATGTGATGGCAGATATGATACACCACAGCATCGGCTTTTTGGGAATCTAGATACAGTCTTCAAAAATGATTTTCACAATCCTACATTTCAAGTAAGTGGTTATTGTAAACACAATAATTCACTATCTTCTGTTTTATTGTACTAGGGAGTTCTATAAAATATATCTTTATAAGTATAATCTTCTTTCTACACTGAAAAAAAGAGTGGAACAAGGAAAGGAGGAAAAAAATTATCATATGGAAATTTGCAAAGGTAATTTGTTCAAATTGTGTGCTATAGGCACCTATAAATTCGTCTGGACCAAGGCAGCCATGGCATGACTTACATTGCAAAATTGAAGGTCCTGCTGCATATGATATATTAACCAATTTTGAACAAAGATGGAGGAAGGCCAAAAAATGGCGCGACTTCAGGCTTAAAAAGGTGACAAATTGGCATGATGATGCTTTGCTAAGGCTAGACCGTATTTCATGGATTCTCAATCCATCTTCTGGTCCTGATGGTGATAAAGCTGTTCATGTAACCGATGAAAATGATCCTGAGAGTTGGAATGTTCAGGTACGGAGGAAATTAATTTGTTCATAGAATCTGATGACATGTGACATCCTTCTTGATAAAATCCAGTAATGATTATGAATAAAGCATTAAAATACAGGTATTTCGGTCCATAGATTCAGGATCCGTGAAGGGCTTTCCAAAGGATATTGACAAAGCTAAGGCTCAGGTAAGAACAAGGTTGTATGTGACTCTCTCTTGTACTTTGAGTTTTTATTTTTGAAGTATGCATTGTGGTGTAGTTTCATGTTATATTGAAATGTTAATTTTCTGCAGAATCTTTTATGTGGAAAAAATTTGAAAGTAGATCAAAGCATCCATGCTGCTTATGTAAAAGCAATAAGATCAGCTCAGCACTTCATATATATTGAGAATCAGTATTTTTTGGGCTCCTCATATCATTGGCCTTCATATAAAAATGCAGGTAGATATAGTTTAGTTTCCTATGTGGTCATCTTTATATGGCATCTGCTAGCCTCTGCATTATCAAATTGGTATATTGATGTTTCTTTCTCTTGCTTTTTTTTTTTTTCTGAACTTGTAAAAGTTCATATAATTATTCTTGTGAAAAATAAGTAATAACTTGTTAGATGTAATTATTGAAGTTTCTGGCCCTTAATCTTAAACGTTTACTTGGTAATTGTGTACATAAAAAGGTGTTTTGAATATCATTTTTCTTTGTCTCTTTATATTATTGTTTTCAAATGTGGTCGCATGTATTATACACATTTTTCTTGCTAACATTTAAAGGCACTATGCACTAAGGGGCGTTTGGTACACGGCATTTGGCCGGATTCTCGGGAAACTGAATTTTTTTAAATTTTAAATTTCTGGATATTATCGTAGACTGAATGTAAAAATCATATTTTTGAAAATTGAGATTCCCGGACAAATAAAAAATTTTCTTGTACCAAACGCCCCCGCTCTCTAGATTCCAAGTTTCTCTAGCATTTGAGTATTTGAATATTTTGTGATGTAGTTTTTACAAATACATATGCATGGGTAAGTTTTTCATTTCTTATCTTTAACAGGTGCAAATCACTTGATTCCCATGGAGTTGGCTTTGAAAATTGCCAGCAAGATCAGCGCAAATGAACGTTTTTCTGTATATATAGTTATACCAATGTGGCCAGAGGGGGTTCCATCTAGTGCTGCTGTTCAAGAAATACTGTTCTGGCAGGTAAGACCAATTTCAAAGTCTATGTTCCCTTCTTTTCAAAATTTTCAGATTAGCAATTCCAGTGATTCAATGACTGGTTTTGGTTTTAAAAACAATGGTACAAGTTAGAAAGGCATGATGGGCACAACATTTTTCTTCCATAAATTTATTATTACCTGGTAGTAATGGATATTCTTGACTAGTTAATGGAAATGCTCTAATAATCAAACCCCTGCCAAATTAAAGACAAAAATCACATGCAACAGACTTCTTGTTATTAAAATTCTTCAAACTACATAAATGATAAAGATTACAAGAATGGAAGGATGGTTTTGGGATGTGTTCTTTCCAATATTTAGTACATGTCCATCAGTGATAAAGATTTATGGATATAATTGAAGGTGTTTATTACAACCTTCTAATTGGAATTTGAATGACTACAGGGACAGACAATGTCTATGATGTACAGGATTGTTGCAGATGCCCTTAAAAAAGCAGGTCTCTCCAATAAGTATCATCCGCAAGATTATCTTAACTTTTACTGCCTTGGAAGGAGAGAACCTCAAGCCTCGGAAAGTTCATCAATACCAAATCCATCTTCTGAAAACCGTGCTTTGGTATGCCAAACTTAAACTACCCTACTATTTTCTTAACCAAATGTTTGCATTGCATGCAGTTTGAAGTTTGAACACTTCGAATATCTTGATGTATTTATTATGAAGCACAAGCAGTTATAATTCCATATGATAGTGTCAGATGATCCGGATTATCTACCATATTTAATATTTTCTACAAAAAGAAAACAAATGATATAAAATAAAATAAAAACTAATACAAGGAAAAAGTTTGTCAGCAATTACATATGAGAAATAATCAGTTGGTGTGTGTAATTCCATTTGCACACTTTTTTGTTTATATTGTGATTAATTAGAATATCATGGTCCAACATATTTTCACTTCACCTAGTTTATGATCTCATTATTATTATTTTCCCCTTTCTTTAATCAGGTATCAGTTAAGAAATTCAAACGTTTTATGATTTATGTTCATGCCAAAGGAATGATAGTTGATGATGAGTACGTAATCATTGGATCAGCAAATATTAACCAGAGATCGTTGGATGGTTCAAGGGACACAGAAATAGCAATGGGTGCTTATCAACCAAAATATACATGGACAGAAAAGAATTCTCATCCACATGGCCAGGTTTGTTAATGAGCTAGAATAGCAGTATGGAAAATGAGCATATTAATCTCCAAGTATGAAAGTAAAAATATATATTCTAAATTTCTCCTTAGCTTGTTTATGTAGCACATGTTGCTAACACATGAAATAGTCAGATACAACCGGAAAAAAGTAACCAAATATGAGTAATCTACCACATTAAGATATATTACAATTCACCAAGATATTGAGCCAACCCTCTCAATAGCTTATTATTTTGAATCTAAAACATGTTGTATACTTTATTTTTATTCAATGCCTCCGGTTCGAGCACTGTCACTCACACCCATACAATTCTCCTAACATTATTTTTTTCTATTTCCAAAACTCGAACTCGAAACCTCTGATTACGGAGAACAAGCTCCTTGTCATTTGAGCCAATAGTCGTTGGTTATGTTATATACTGTATTGTCATAATATAATTGCATGCTTAACTAAAGACACCTTCTCACAGTGGATTCCCAGCTTAAAGCCAGATTTGTGAATACTAACATAGCAGATAGTTTCCTGTTATGCAATTTCATCTTTTCTTTTCTCAGTAATTGGTAATTCCCACAAAGATTGTGTTGATGTAGGTGTATGGATACCGAATGTCACTGTGGGCTGAGCACCTTGGTGGTCTTGATGATCCTTTTGCTGAACCTCACAGCCTGGATTGTGTTAGGCATGTCAACATGATTGCCAGAAAAAACTGGGACACATATGTGTCTGAGGAAGGGAAACAGATGAGGGGACACTTGATGCAGTATCCAGTTCATGTCAGCAGTGATGGAAAGGTGAGTGCATTAGATGATTATGAGTCCTTTCCTGATGTTGGTGGCAAAATTCTTGGATCACCCAATTCACTTCCGGATGCACTAACCACATGATTAACCAAAGTAAGTCTAGGTAGGAAATGGTAATGATGATAAAGCCATTTTATACTCTTAAAATTATCTTTAGAGAAACATAATATGTAACATTATAGAATGGTCCTGATGCAGCTAAATGATTACTTACCTTTGTATGTAAATTATTGTATCTGATAGTATGTGAATAATCTCTACATTATATTTATGGAAAATATAAGAATCATGTTGCAGGAATGACACTGTTTATTCCTTCCTGCAACAAGGATCCGGCAACGTATCTTGAGAATACGGCGCCGTATCCTGATTTTGGTTTGACTTTTTTTTTAAGCGTGTGATAGGGGTGTTCGCGGTCTGGATTGGATCGGTTTTGAAAGTAAAACTCATCCGATCCAATCCCTTCGGTTTGATCATGTAATCATCCATTCGGTTTAGATTTTTTTTCAAATCCGATCCGATCCAATCCAATTTTTTTCGGTTTGGATTGGATCGGTTTTCGGTTTTTTGAATATCCTAAAATTAGTTTTGTGATTATTGTGCAAATAACATCTTTTATATATATTGACTTTGTAAAAAAAAAAAAATTGAAATACAAAAATATCAGTAAACAATACTATAGTTGATGAGAGGTGACTAAGTTTTTTTTTGGGTTTAGTTGATGAGTTAATGGGTCTTGAGTTTATAAATTTTTGGGCTATGATTGGAGAAAAGACAAGTAGGTAGAGGATAATTAATATATTGGATCGGTTTTCATCAACCCATCCGAAAACCGATCCAATCCATTTAAAATTTGCGGTTTTCTTTCGGTTTCCGATTTTTCGGTTTTCGATTTATTCGGTTATCGGTTTTTCGGTTCGGTTTTCGCGGTTTGAATCGGTTTGGATCGGTTGATGAACACCCCTAGCGTGTGATCCACACTTGATTTGTGTGTGCAGGAAAATGGTCTTGTCATGTGACATGACAAAAAGCGAACCCTATATTTATATAGGTAAAAAACAAATACAATACAGTAGTTATCATCAGGATATTATCTCTTCTCGGGTGGTGGTCCTTCATTTCCTTAATAGAAACTGAATATGGGTTTTCTTCTGGTTTTTCAATCATAGATTTTCACTATGAGAATAAACATTACCAGAACCAACAAAAAAAGTTTCATGTTTACTAAGGTGATGATTGATAAACGTCTGGAACTGAGTGGTTTTACTACCCTTTTCTTGTACAGCCCTTAAAATATCAATATTATTAATATTCGTCATCAGAAAAATAAGTAAATAAGCGACAAGATTGTTATATATAATAATTATCCTAATAACATCAATATGGGCAGTTTTATGGTGAGTGTTATCATGGAAAGTTGCATTATAAACTGAGCAAAAAAAGGAGAGGGTTCTTCTAGAAAAAAAGCAACATAAACCATTGTTATTCAAACTAGAAATGATCATTGTTACAAATGAATGATCTTTTTCTTTCCGCTCGCTGTTGAATAAATATAAAAGGAGTTTGTCGTTGCCTCACTTTGGCATAGGATTAATAATACAAATGTTAGACATAGTAAAAAAAGTTTATTTGTAAAAAAAAAAAAAAAAAAAAAATAATAATACCTTTTAATTAAGGAAAAATTTAACTATAACCATTAAGGGAAAAATATTTTTCCATTAAAGATAAAATTATCTCTAGTGAGCTCAAAATGACATCGTTTCGGGTCGTAAGATTAAAAAATTATAATGACAAAGACTAATATAATCCTTTAATAAACTAGAATTACAAAAATATTTTAATTTTTGTCACAAAACGACTTGTTCTATGCTTACCGGACATAATTTATTTCATTCCCCGGAAAAATACTTTACCCGATCGCTAACTTTAATTGGTAAGCAAGCGTGGTTTGAGATTCTGTTATTTAGTTATATAACAGCAAGAACACAAGCAAGAGACCGCATAGCGCAGTGGATTAGCGCGTCTGACTTCGGATCAGAAGGTCGTGGGTTCGACTCCCACTGTGGTCGTTTTTACTTCATTAAATTTCTAAATTGCCACGACGTCGTATGTTAGATAACGAATTTTGGCTCAGTTAGCTATTCTCGATAATAGATAAGGGAATGAATTGTACGTTTGAAGAAGCTCTGAAAAATTGTTTGATTGGAGAATCAATAAAGAGAAGAATGAATTCGAGGTCAAATTGTGGGAAGGAGGAAGGAAGATCATCGACTCACTGTAAACACCATTAGGAGCTGGCTGGAAATGAAGTTGGTCGTTCTTGCGTTTACATGCTATCAGACTCAATTGTTGCTATGATTTTAAACATCAGTCCAGAGAGGTCCCAAAAACAATGGCTGAAATAGATGTCACGAAAATTGAAGAGAATGTGAAGAAGGCAGATAAGACTATGCATGCAAAAATGGGGAAGTGGAGAGTGAAAATGAAGAACTAAAGGAAAGAGTAAGAACCCTATTCCAGCGTTTTCAAAGGAGTACAAAGCCAACCCCAGTTCTTAGATATTAAAAGTGACGAGGAAGGAACACTAGGGTATACTAGCCATCCACACGAAACTTTAATTTTGCCATGAGTTTTTGGCAGGCCCTATCTAACAGAATCAGCACAACGATGGTGGGAAACACAGTGATTTCTTGAACCACCGTCCATCCTATTTTCATCAAACGGTTCTAATTTATTAACCACATATAACTTATATGCAATGTAATATAAAGTAAGAAAATTAAATTTTAATTATTGTGTATGAAACAATCAGGAAGGTTCATTGCCTCCGTGAGTAAAGATGAGCCAGTTTCTTCAAGATTTGGTAATTGTATGATTCAAATATATTGATAATCTTCCCTGAAATTGCAGCCAAATTCATCCCATGGATAGGCTGGAATCTAACTTGTGTAGCTCAATACATATCATTGTATAAGTTACTTCCTGCTATTGTAGTTTGTGATAAGGTTATAATGAATAGCGTCATTCTCCATAATGTGTTTTCTAGTGAACGAATTTAAATTTATGATGAAAATTTATTTGAGGCTGATTCAACAATAATACAATATAGTTTTAGATATTCTATGCGATGCCAAGCTGATATATTAAGAAAGGGGCTTCCTTTAGACAGATTTCAAGAACTTACTAGCAAGCTGTGAATGATAAATATCTATTCCTCAGCTTGAGGGGGAGTGTTGTAAATAATATTGATTTAGTTATTATTTAGTTTTTATTTAGTCATTTATTGTTGTATTGGGCCAAGCCCATTAGGTTAAAAGTAGGTCAAATATTCTCTATAAATAGAGAACCCTTTGTACAGATTATTTACAATTCTATAATATATTAGAATACCCTTTTTCAAGTCTTCATTAAAAATCTTTCCAAGAAAAATCCAGTGGGACAAAAAATTTAATAAGGAGAAAAAGAGTACAATGCATATAGCTCCCCCTCAATTAAGTCATATATGAAAGTGGAGTAACAGTTGCAATTTTCCATAATGTCCATTTATAATACTTTCACATGGACATCATTGCATTAATATTCATGTCTCCTTAAAAATTTGTTAGAAAATCCAATGGGAAAAACTAGCAAAAAAAAAACAGAGAGTACATGGCATACGCTACCAAAGCATTACATACATTGCCTCATTAAAAATCTTTAGCCAAGAAAAATCCTTTGGAAAAAAACGTAGCAAAGGAAAAAAGAGTACAATAATAAACCTTCGGGGCTCCATCCTTCAGGGATAATTATAATTAATTTTCTCCCCTGATGAAAATAATCTATTAAGGAAGTAGCAACTAGGCTTACCTTTACAGCCTTCCATAACATTGCAGTACTTCCACAAAGAGATGCATATCTAATATGCGATTATTAGACCTATAGTCAACATCAAAATATTCAACCAATGTGAAATCTCCATATCATAGATAGATCCTTGAAGATGACCAAAATATGATTAACGTCATTCCAATGCCTTAAGGGCAACATTATGTCTAGTTAGAACTTTTACTGCAAATGTAATATCAGACCTGTTGCATTTTGAAGAATATAATAGTGTTCCTATGACGCTTAAGATTAAGAGCTTTAGGTCTTAATCCTTTCTCGCTATTTATTTTTGGTCAAAACGGATCTGTATGGACCATCATCGGGTCACTTATATATAGGGGTGAAAATGGGCTAGACCGGGTCTCGTCCTGAAAAGCCCAAGCCTATCATAAAAAATTCAAGTTTGACCTGGCCCGATAGCATAGTACGAATCTAACTATTAGCCTTGTCTAGCCTATTTATAAAACAATAAATGGCCTGACTCGTTAGCCTGTTAATTTTTAACTTCCAAGAAAAACATAAATCAACTTCACCAAAAACTCAAATTATATTGTTAAAACAAAAACCACAATTTAATGTCCAAATAGAACTATAAATCACAATAACTTATCACAATCTGTATTTCAGTCACTCTCAAAAGCAAAATGCCCAAATTAAATAACATATATTTCTTCAGATCCAACAAACCAATCCATACTATGCAAATTAAAATAACTACATGAATCAAACAAACACATGATGATGCTTATAGTAGCACAAAACTTCTTATCATGTTCTCTCCCCTGCAAATACAATTCCAACGTTACATAAGTTGGCAAAAATTTGTAAATGTAGAAAACAAAAAATAATATTAAAGAAAAGAAACAAAAAATAAGATTAAGAAACAAAAAACCTTGGGGGATGTTATACTTACTACCAAATCTTAACCGTTGATTTCTGTCAATCAACGGTTATAATTTACTGAAAATTAATAATTAATTAATAAGTGTGACTCAATAATTATAACTGTTAGATTGACAAAAATCAACGGTTAAGATCTGATAATAAAAGATAATAAGAAAAAAAATAGCAAGTATAACCTCTCCCAAAAATCTTTTAATATATTCATATACACAATCTAACATGTTAAGATGTTGGTTCCTCCTACATAAAAAATAAAGTCAGATTTCTATTAAAATATATTTGAATATAATTCAGTTATAAAATAATTTCAATTGATTAAATTTATATCTTTTGTTTTTCCTTCAAGCCATACTTATTTTATTTTATTTTATTTAAAATAAATAGTATAATATATGACAGCTTGTAGGCTTATAGGCCTGACCTTGTGAAAGTAGACCTACGACTTGTTTATTAAACAAGCTTTTTTCAAGGCCCGAGCCCGACCTATTTTAAAAAATATACTAGGTCAGGTTTGGCCTGACGTAGGCCCCTATAAGTCGTCCGACCCAATTTCACCCCTACTTATATAGTTTCATTGGTGAAATAAGCATTTTGGAAGATGCTCGATCTGCATACCGAGATAATAGTATGTTTGAGACCACCATACAGTGATCTTTGCAGCTTGATGCTAAACATACTGCGAATTTCATTCTTTCCATAGAGGGTATGGAGATTCCTGCAGGGATTTTCATATAAATATCATCATCCAGTGACCATGCAGTCACGACGTTCATTAAATGCATCTTAAGGTGCATATTAGTTGCCATATTTATTAAGTAATGGAACATAATAAAATTCATTACGGGAGAATAAATATCATAATTGATGTAGGGTCTCTGCGAAAACCCTTGTTATTTATTAATTACTTACCTCCTTTCATAATCTAAATGTTTCTGTTATAGTTTTGAGTTCTGGATCCAGATTATCTCTTGAGACAACAAGAGTTACTGAGAAGGCAATGGTGTTGCCAGTGACAAATAATATTATGACATTTTCTCCCTTATTAATATACTTTATTGCATACTTTTAAGTCAATATCAACCAAATATTCATCGTTTCCCAAGGCATTCAGATTTGATTGTTCTGTATTCTCGGGATTGTTCCAATTAGTAGCTACATTTATTTTACCGGGTTCGCTTTCTTCGTGATTAATCTCTAAGATGGAAAAGTTTCTTTCCCTTTTAAGAAGCAATGAACAAAGTAATTTCTCCAAGCACGCACATCAGCAATCTCAGCATTCAGATAAACACCATCATTACTCAGTGTTCCCATAATTTGAGAATTGATGTCAAGAAGGATCTACTTCACAGCACCAACATCACCCTTTTAAGCTGAAGCTATTAACATAACCGAATCATGTCCAACGACCTCTCCACTAGGTTGGTGGTGGTTTTCTCCAAGGTCTCAACATCGGCGGCTCTCACGGCGGTGTTACGGCAAAGAGAGACAGTAATGCGAGGAAGGACAAATTCTGGTCATACAAGGAAGGAACTATATTGGTGGTTCGTTGTGGTTTTCAATTCTCCTGATCTGAAATAAAAGAGAGATGAGTGCGAAGGAAAGTGGGTGAGTGCGGCGGAAAAGGAAATGTAAGGAGGGCTTGGGAGAAAGATAATCTGGATTGGACAATGGTGATTAGTGGTAGGAAGGGGAACGACGAAAGAGATAGAGAGAAAATCTATTATGGTGATAACGTGTTATAAAATTTATAAAATGAGAAGAGAAAGTAAGAGAGAATAGACACAGAAGCTAGGCAAAATACTAATTTCCATTCATACTAAGGGGAAAACACCATTTTAAAATTTTTGAGCAAAAGAATTGCCCAGTTAAAGTTGATTGGATAAGTTTTTCCAAAGTAATGCAGTAAAACATGTCTCATATGCTGACGAGACTAGTCTCGTCACTGACACTGACGGGACTCGTGTCACATCAGCGCCACGTAGGCATTTTTGTTACCATAAAACTTCAGAAGAACATAACTTGTGACTCGGGTATCAAAATCAGATGATTTTTTTTGATTTCACATAACTTTTCGAGATCTACGCAATGACATCTCATTTTATATATTTTATCTCTCACAAACATAATTTGAATTGGTAACAATTGTACCACAATCACGCGTTTAAATCCAGAAGATCTTCAAATTATGTTTGTGGGAGATAAAATATGTAAAATTAGGTGTCATTGCATAGATTTCAAAAATTTATGTGAAATAAAAAAAACATCTGATTTGGATACCCTAGTCACAAGTTATGACCTTCTGAACTTTTACGATACTGGGACTGCCTACGTGGCGCTGACGTGGCACGAGTCCGGTCAGTGTCAGTGACGGGACTAGTCCCGTTAGCATATGTGACATGTTTGACTGCATTACTTTGGAAAAATTTATCTAATCAACTTTAACTGAGCAATTCTTTTGCTCAAAAATTTTAAAATGGTGCTTTAGCCTTCATATTAAGGGTCCGTTTGGATGAACTTTTTTTTCTTCAAAAGCTATTTTTTTTCAAGAAAAAAGTACTTCTCGTTTTTAGTTTGTTTGGATGTCTGCTTTTAAAAAAAGGAGAAGTCATAAAAAAAGCTAAAATTCTACTTTTTTCAGAAGTTAAAAATTTTAACTTCTAAGAAAAGCAGAAGTCAAAAGCCAAATATTTTTTTCAAAAACTAAATATTTTTATAAAAATACAAATAACTTTAACTTTTGTAAAAAGTACTTTTAAAATAAGAAAGTGATAAAAAGTATTTTTTCTAAAAGCTGAAACAAACGACCTCTAATTCGTATGGGATTTATGTCCTTATAGAGGATTATATATATCAATCAAGAAAATAATTATATTTCAATACAACATTAATGTAGTGGTTACAAAATATATCAAAAGTTATGAAAAAGTCAAAGGTCATCAATATATTTTACGACAATTTAATACTTCTTATGGAAAAAGTATTTCTCCAGTCACTGTAGATAAAACTATCTCCAGTGAGCCTAAAACGACGTCGTTTTGGGTTGTAAAATAAAATAAAAAATTATAATGACAAAGACTAATATAACCCTGAAATAAATTAGAATGATAAAAACACTATAATTTCCGCCACAAAATGACATCATTTTATGCTCACCGGAGATAACTTATCTTCATTAACCGGAGAAATGCTTTATCCATTTCTTATATATCATAATAGGGTAAAGAATTTCTCTAGTCAATGGAGATAAGTTATCTCCGGTAAGCCCAAAACGACGTCATTTTGAAGTGAAAATCAAGGTATTTTTGTAATTCTAATATATTGCAGGGTTATATTAGCCTTTATCATTATACTTTTTTAATCTAATAACCCAAAACGATATCATTTTGAGCTCACTGGATATAACTTTATCTCCAATGACGGAAGAAATATTTTTTCCATCATAATATATACATATAGACACACATAATCTTATTTCTTACTTTAAATAGAAGATATTTCCATAATTTTATTACTTATTTTGAAAATGGAATATGTTACTTTAATCTTAACATACATTAACAAATGATTAATACATGGTTATAATTATTTATTAATTAGTGATGTGATTGTTCTTGTGCATCCAAATTATTGCACTAAGTTTATAAAAGTATTTTTCTTAACTTTGATGCATTACAAGTGTAATTCAATCTGATATTATTAATAAATTTAGATATATTATGAATTTAGTAAATATCAAACTTATTAAATGACACGACAACACATAATTATAAATATAAAATATTTTTATATGAAATTTATATTCATATCTTTTATACAACCTCGTTTATTCATCGGTCTTTTTTTATTTGTATGGTTCTCTTTTTTGTTAAAAAAAAAAATGATACTTGTCAAGCAAATAATTAATTTTATAAAATTTTACTTAAAGCCAACTTTCAATAAATATTTGATGGGAGAAGTTATAGTTATTACCTCTTTTTCTTACTACCTCTTACTACTAAATTTTAATCGTTGATTTTCGTCAATTTAATAATTATAATTTATTGGAAATTAATTATTAATTAATTAAATATGATCCAATAAATTATAATTATTAAATTAACAGAAATCAATAGTTAAAATTTAATAGTAAAAAGTAGTAAGAAAAAGATACAGTAACTATAATATTCTCCGTATTTGATATCCCACTTTAAATATCATACCCACAAACATGTAACTAACATTTTTCATGTGCTAACTTCTTTTCGTCACCTGTGGGATGAAAGAGACGCAACAAATTTATTAAAAACAATATTTATAAAATAAAATTTTGGGGAATGTCAGATCTGAAAAGTGTCAATTAAATAAGGGTTAAAAACTTTTAGTGCTTTTTGGATCAACTTTTATTTCTAAAAATGTTGACTTTTTTTAAAGTAAAAGTCATTTTGAATTTTTTTAGTTGTTTGGATAACATTTTTTAAAAAAGAAAAATTTAAAATAAAAGTTAAAATGTTATTTTTTTTTTAGTCAGTAGTTAGTTGTTTTTAAAAAAAGCAAAAATTAAAAAGTAATATACATTTTTTCTAGCAAAAAAGATAATATAAATTTTTAAAATACAATTTTAACTTCATCCTATCATATCTATTTTATCTCTTTTTATCTCACGATCATATTATTTTATCTCTCATGTATTGTAATTTTATATATAAAAAGTGTTTTTATTATTTTAACATCCAAACATTTTTTTTTATGTAAAAGTGATTTTAAGATCATACATTCAAACATAAAATAATTTTATCTTTAAAAAAAGATTCTTTTAAAAAAAACAATGCATAAAAAGTTATTTTTGTAAAAATTTATCCAAACGGGTCCTTAGCTTGTTTTTTACACGCATAATAAACATGAGTCTCGTTAATTATTATTTTTTTCTTTCCTCTTTTAATAAATTGTGTAAGAGAAAATATTATTTTCATATAACTTGAGAAATTTTGAACCCGTTAAATAATTACTCAAGAAAAAACTAAAGTATTTAATAGTCACAAACAATTTAATAAGAGAAAAAATTTTGTTTTTTATATAATTTTTTTTCTATTATATTTACATTAAAATAAATGATTTCTCCATAAAAAATATTAATAAGACCTATTTATTTTTACGTGAACGTGAGAGATAAACTTTTTCAGTTGCAAAAGCTAAATTATTAAACTCATTTTATAAAGTATCGTTTTCAGGCACACATTAACAAAGATTAAAATCAAATCGAACTTGTCTTTTGTTAGCTTTAAAAGCAGATTAGATTCGTATATTTGTTCTAGAAAAGAATGTTAACTATTTAATCAAATTAGATTCGAAAAATTAATTGAATGTGATAGCAATCATAATATATTCGCAATTCGAAAACACACAGGAAGTGCGCGGCAGAGGAGTCGTTTATGGAAGATCAAAGCGGAGAAGGAGAAGAACAAGAAGAAGATTCTATATCATATTATTATCACTATTGATTATTCAAATTTATTAAATAATAATATTAATTCATTAATTAATTATGGCTAAGGGGCCCTTCTCCTCTTTCCGCCGCACAGTCTCCCGCCGCCGCCAAAACAGGAAGACGTTGCCGCCGCAGCAGTTGACGCCGCCGACGATTCCGACGCCGAATACGACCGGAATTTCCGGGTCGCCAGGCGAGAACGCCAACAACGGATTGATCGTCGGCGGAGCGGTGACGAAGGCGAAGAAGAAGACCGGCGGAGCCAGGTTGTGGATGAGATTTGACCGGTCGGGTCGGTCGGAGCTTGTCGAGTGGGACAAGAACGCCATCATCCACCACGCCGCGATTCCCGCCAGGGACTTGAGGATTTTGGGCCCTGTCTTCTCCCACTCCTCCAATATCCTTGGTAATTGATTTTTCCATTTCTATTTTATTTTATTTTGTTGGTTTTTAGGGTTTCTCTGAATGTTTAGGATTTTGCGCCTTGTTTTAATTGTTGTTTTGTGCTGAAGAATGAGAGTGAGTGGTGGAATATGGGTTTTTTTTTTTAATAATTTTGATGTGGATTTATTGGATGGTGAAAAATTAAACTAGTGTTGCAGTGTGTGATCAGTTCAGCGTTGAGATTGCCGTTTCGTTGTTTATCTTTTTCTTGAGTTTTGTCGTTCATGCTTAAATGCTTCCAGGCACCGACAAGACAACTTTGCTTTGCATTGAAAATGCTGCCGAGTAACAGACATATCTGACACACATGGTGCTATGATTAACTGCTTGGCTGCTATATGTTTAGATAGGGATAATTTTTTAAAACCATATATGCTGAATGTGTTTTCTTTGCATTTTATATTTTGATTATTATTATGAAATTTTGTTGCTTCATTACCTCTGACTATAAGGATTTTGTAGAGCCAATAGTTGTTTGTTGAGGCCGGACCTTAAAGATGAGTTTGAATTTCAAGAGTCACAATTTCTTTAATGGAGACTGGAGAGAGTAAAGTGACACAGATTCGAAATCAGATTAGTCACCTCTAGCGCTGCAAATTCATGTTGATATTAAAAATTAAAACATTTGCAGTTTACGTTTTACCATTGAAAATGTGATGAAAAGAAACGTAAGTTGAGAAATAGCTATACTTTAGGGAGGTAAAATGTATTTTACAATGTTTTTTTGTGTCTTTTGCCAATGGAGGATCGCAACGCCACCTGGACTTAGCTTGATTGGTTGGTTCGGGTAGAGATTTAGGTTGAGTTTGTAGGTTCAAGTGGTGGTAACGACTACTACTCTACCATTATAAAGTAGATACTGGCTACGGTTACTGTTGGAGCTTTTCAGTATCTTTATTTTAGCAGTTGAATTGATATAGGTTAGCCACGTGTCTTTAATTGTTCCTTTTGTGTTCTGATCCCTGTGCCTGTTGCATTTTATCTTTCATGTGGAAGAAAATGATAGTTTTCGTACCGTGATTATGTTTATCTGTTCTCTGCCAGTGTTCAAATCTTATACGCAATTACAGATACAGTGGTTCTCTTCTGCTTATTTGTTCTCCCTCACCCACACACACACACATTTGGATTATGTTATTATGATTAGGGCTTTACTTTTCTCGTATAATAGAAATTATTTTATGTTGTGAGATAAATAAAATGGGGTCCACCAATTTTTAAAAAAAGAAAAAAGAAAAAAAAGAAAGATAGATTTTTTTATGTGAGTGTAACATGAGAGATGAATTTCATGTAACGTAAGAGTATAATTTTCCTTATGATTATGGTGAAGTATGGAATTACATATACTTTTGTTCTTTGCAGCCAGAGAGAAAGCAATGGTAGTCAATTTGGAGTTTATAAAGGCTATAGTCACGGCTGAAGAAGTGCTATTGCTTGATCCTCTTCGCCAGGAGGTTCTTCCATTTGTTGAACAACTCAGGCAACAACTTCCATATAAAAGTCAACCTAGACTTCATGGACCTGTGCATGAACAAGAAAGTGAAATGCAGGTTTCAACTGGCAGACAATGGTTACCTGTGCCAGAGTCTGCTGAATGTTTGCAGTCTGAGCTTCCATTTGAGTTTCAAGTTCTTGAGATTGCTTTAGAAGTTGTCTGTACTTATCTGGACTCAAGTGTGGCAGACCTTGAGAGAGGTGCTTACCCTGTATTAGATGAATTGGCTAGGAATGTTAGCACCAAGAATCTTGAACGTGTTCGAAGTTTGAAGAGCAATCTTACACGTTTGCTGGCACGGGTGCAAAAGGTGTGCTGCATAAGTCCCATATTCTTCTTTCTCTGGTTCCTCCTGTTATTATCCCTTTGTTTCTTTCCCTTTTTTTAACCGTAGTTTCTATTTCTTTGCTAATCCACGCATTTTCCAAGGTTGCTTTAAAGTCACTGAAAATAGTTCTTTCGTTATGTATAGATGGCTGTGGAAATTGAGAATTGGAGGATTAACCTTTGCCAGAGAGGAGAGGGGGGGGGGGGGGGGGGTAGATTTTGCACAAGTCTGATTTCTGTTTATACAATGTAGTTCATTGGATTGGTCAAGACGTCAGTTAAAAGCCCTTGAGAAGTGCTTCTATTAATAAAAATGCTCACAGAAAACTTCCGTATTTATTGTACATTGAGATGGTTGAAGATTTTTGAAGAAGTAACATTTAACTCTGTGAGTTGAGACACGTAATATGCATCCAATAATGCAGTCCTGGAACAAAACAAGAAAATTTATTTCTCTCCTTCCCCTTTAATTGTTGTGTTTCCTTGGTTACACTGTTCAATAGTCATATTATGCTCTCAAATAGGCAATTCTGTGGTAGAGGCTTTTGTTCGCTGTTTTATAAAGAAAAATTATTGCAGGCTATTTTACCTTGTATCTGATGATGCATTCCGTCATCTTTGAGAGATATCATACTTAGGAAGTGTATGACCCACTTTTACAGGTGCGAGATGAAATTGAACATCTGTTAGACGACAATGAAGACATGGCGCAACTATATTTGACAAGGAAGTGGTTGCAAAATCAGCAATTTGAGGTTCATTTGGGAGCCACAGCCTCAAATATTCTTTCTAATGCCGCAAATGTTGTTTGTCGACTTGGTTCTAACAGAAGTGGAAGTCTTGTGGCTAGCAACTATGGGGATGATAATGACGTGGAGGACTTAGAGATGTTGCTTGAGGCATATTTTATGCAGTTGGATGGAACTCGTAACAAGATATTGTCTGTAAGTGTTCTTATAATTAGATTCTGGTCAAATCATGTGTATGTCAAATTTTGAAGATTGAAACTATCCTTTTGTACTTTGACTCTATCATCTTACTATCTAATTTAAACTATGCTCTTCTACTTTGAGATGATAAAATTCACACACTCATATTTGATTTGCACATGACTCTGTCTACACAAACTTTGTTATGACATGTGGTTCTTACTACGAAATTTAGTATTGCATCCTTTTGCTTTTCTCTTGTTTTGAGGAGGATGTAGGGAAGCGGGATTATTGCTAGTTTCAATGTGACGCTTCTGGGAACTTGTGGAGGAGATTCATAAGCTTCCAGAAATTAGTTTAAGCTCGCCCTCTATAGGGGCCATCAATTTTTGTTACCATATGTTGATATATATAAAACCATTAATGTAGCCTCACCCAACAGCTTAAGCTTTTGGGTTGAATTGGTTCTTTACATGGTATCAGAGCTTCGTGTCCCGGGTTCGATCCTCACTGCCCCCCACTTTTTTTCTAGTAGAATTTCTTTCTTCGCACAGGTAGGTGGGCCTGTGCATCGTCCACCCTTCAAACCCAGTGGGCTCTCGTGTGAGGGGACGTGTTGAGATATATAAAACCATTAATGTAGCCTCACCTAACAGCTTAAGCTTTTGGGTTGAATTGGTTCTTTACACCATAATTTGAGATATAATGCTTATGGGATGCTTATCAGGATTTAGCAAATATAGTATTGTCTGGTTGGTTTGGAGAAACAAGTGGTTGTCACCTACTGTTGATTTCCTTTTCTTGTTTACAAAAAAACTAGTAGAGACACAACTGTTAAGGGAAGGAAAAAGAGAGAGGGGAGGGGGGGGTAGCTAGTCCATGTTCCATGGACCAAGATGTTGGGTTTGCAAAGTATTCTTTAAATGTCAGCTGAATTTGATTAGTGTTTCTGTAATACCAAATACTGTGAGAATTTGACTGGAAACTTGGGTGCTGTTTCATTTTATCATTGCTGAGAGTGGTATGGTTCTTCTTATTGGTTATTGATTTGCAGGTTAGGGAATATATTGATGACACAGAAGACTACGTCAACATCCAACTTGATAACCATAGAAATGAACTTATTCAGCTGCAGTTGACATTGACCATTGCATCATTTGCTATTGCTGTTGAAACTTTGATTGCTGGTGCATTTGGTATGAACATTCCTTGTTCATTATACAGCAAAGATGGAATATTTTGGCCCATTGTTGGGGGCATGTCTGTAGCTTGCGTATTGCTTTTCCTGCTTGTTTTAGCATATGCAAAATGGAAAAAGTTGCTGGGATCATAAGTATACTTTCGTCATCAGCTGTTTGGGTTGTAACAGTTGGCAACATGAACCTCAGCAATCAGTGATCTGAAGAACAAACAAGAACGGGTCCTCCAAGAAGTGGCTTATTAAGGATGTATCTCAATTTCTCATAATATTATTAGCTGATCTCTAGGATGTTCCAAGCTTGCTTTTGACACTCTGAACTTCATAGCTGATATCATTCACACAGGCATTTTTCATTTAGCAACTGTATGATGTCATTTTTTCTATTTACTTTTTTTATGTTTTGCTTGATCAGTTTATATGTTAATAATGGGGATTGCATGAGGAGCATTGTGGTGGGCTTAATTTATGAGCAGCTAACCACACCATACAAGAGGGTTCACTTTTCAATTCTCACGAAATCTATTGTGCACTTGATAGAGCCGTAAGGATAAGGCACACGATATCATATGCAGGAGGCTGTGATGCGCCGGTACTTTTAAATGGTTGCTGTACACTTTACTAGTATTCGATCATTAGGGTTGTTAATATTCTTGGCATTACGCCTGATTCAAGCCTATTTATAAATAAATTAGGTCATCATTTTTTAAAAGCTTATTATTTAATTTAAAAAAAAAAATCAAATTTTAGGTCATTAAAAAAAACTAAAATTACCAAATGATAGTAGTTCAGTTGGCGTCAAAAAATTGAGCAGGTGGGGGTGAGAGCATGTATTCGATTGTCCCAAGTATCCTCTTTGGGAGAGGTTTAAAGTCTTAATCCTGAGTTATCCGTCCCGAATCGGACTAGTTGGGAAGCAATGAACCGATTGGAATATTTTCAAAATAAAAATAAAAATTAATGAGTGGTCTATTTAATTAAATATAAATGTATTATTTTTATTATTATTTTTATTTTTATTATTATATTTTTAAAATTATATATTTATTGGTCTATTTAAAAGTTTAGATATATTTGTTTACATAGATGCAATGTTATGAAACTGGCCGGGTTGACCCAGAATCTAACGAATTGGTCATCGGACAGTTCGAGTCAAGCATCGAACCAACCATGCATCGAATCCAGTCAAAAATCAATCAAACTCGATCAAAATTGGTGACTTGATGACCCGGTCGGGTCATGCATTTTTATTAAAAAAAATACCTAACAATCAAAGTTATTTCATCTAGTGAGAAAAAAATGTAGAACTCATTTTAAATTTTTGTGTAATTTTATTTGTTAGTAGTATATTTTTTTACAATGATCTCAAATTTGAGCTTCCAATACTGAAGCAATTTGCGGAACAATAAATTAAGAGAATGTGATTGTCATTTCAATGTAGAGAAATTTGAAAAAATATGAATTCACAACATCTAGCCTTTTGAATGTTATTGAGAAATATACTTATAGGGATTTTGAGTTGCAATTTAAATTGATATAGTAATACCGTGCATTTTCATTTATTTGTATTTTATGAACTTGTAAAAGTGTGATTGAATAATTTTTTAGCTTATTTAATGAATATTGCTTAACTCATTTTAAATATGAAGAATATAATTTTATATATATATATATAAGGTAGGATCCTTTGATACTAGTATCAAATTTAAAATTTGACACCTCATCCGAGAGCCATTAGATCAGAAAAGATCAACGACTCTGATTTATAAGCATATAACACAATTGGGTCGGTTTGGATTGGATTGGTTTTCATCAACCAATCCGAAAATCGATCCAATCCAATTGAAATTTGCGATTTTTATTTTGATTTTCAATTTTTCGATTCGGTTATCGCATTTTAAATTGGTTTGGATCGGTTGATGAACACCCATAATTCATAAGTATTTCTTGTCTTAAAACTTAAATAGTAAAAATATTTATCCTTTTAAAGTATAGTCATTTTAATTAAAATTAATATTTTTATTTAAAATTTAAATTAAAAAAACCTACTCACTTTTTCTCCATAATTTTTATTATGTATTTTTTTTCTCACTTAAAATAATATAATTTTATGTTCTTTAACCATGTTAAGTCTAATACTTTTTTCGTATCATAAAACTTACTAAAGATTAAATCAGTATCAAACTTTTTAGCAATACTTTTTTGGGAAATGTAATTTTCCTTTTACGGGAGAAGATTTTTTTTTTTAGCAATCAATTATAATTATGTCTTGTAGATAAGATATAATTGTAATTTTAATAAAATAACTTTAATATTATAATTATATTTTACTGGTAAGACATAGTTGTAATTAATTGTAGCTAGAGCTGATAAAACGGGCTCGAATCAGCCCGCTAGAGCCGACAGAAAGGACTCAAATTAGCAGACGACCAGTCCCGCCCGACAAACAGGACATGACTAACTGGTTTATTTTTTGACGAATTGATAATTGGGAGAGACAAATAAATATAAATATGTTCGTACTGATAGACCAACCTATCCTGCCCATCAAATAGGATGGAGTGGGCCGAATTTTTGAGTTTATTTTCAAACGAAAAGAGATATGCCACCCACTTTGCCATATCTAGTTGCCTCCCAAAATTTCTTCTGAAATGAAATGAAAGGAAAAGTTGAGACCGTACTTTGTTTTATAATAGGGTTTTATAAGAGTTATGTTGTAGGAAAAATGATTGTGTAATATTATAGAGATTCGTTTTGTGTGCCGTAATTTTCTTTTTTTTTAAAAAAGTGTGGTCCCTTTATAATAATGATAAAATGTTCGAACTAATAACTATTACAAATTTAAATTCCATATACAAATGAGTTGTATTGTTTCTCCAACATAAAATACTATGAAAAAAAAATAAGAAAAAGTATTTATCTTTTTAGATAACACAATTTATATTCTTTCATTCTCAAATAGTGGTGGAACCCACATCTTTATTTATTTTTTTTGTCAATTCTCTCTCCTCTTTTACATATCTTTTTCTCTTTCTTCCTTAAAATGACACAACTTTACTCCTTTTAAAATAACAGATCATTTTCTCAAAAAAATAATACAATAAAAATTTGAGCTTTTTCTCTCGTGGTCTTGCCACGTTACCGTGTTTATGCACCTCTTGTTTTCAGCTTCCCCTGCTTTTTTTCCTTTTTCTTCATCAACTCTTAATTTCTTCTCTCATGAGTTTATGTTACCAAACTTTGCTATAGTTCAGTTCACCACTGTTTGGAGGAGATGCTCTTTATTTTTATTTTTTGGGACACGAGTCAAATTCATACCTGAAAGAGCAAACACGTATGCAACTCAATAAAAAATTAAACAAAAACAAAAAAGAATGCATCATCAATGTCATAATCAATCAATCAATGTAACGTAACGCACGAGGCATAGTAAGTCAACGATCTTTTGCAGTTGAAGTAACCCCAAACAATTTTTATGTTTCTAAATTAGTGAAATGTTCTACTTCTCTACTCAGTAATGGGTAAGAGGTCTTTGTCCTTCTCCTTCCGCCGCTCAACTCCCCGCCGCCGACACAAGCATGCGGCGGTGCCGCCTCCCGGAGTTTCCGGATCGCCGGTCGCGGTTTCCAGCTCAAAGAAGAAAACCGGCGGTGCCAGGTTGTGGATGCGGTTTGACCGGTCTGGCCGGTCAGAGCTTATGGAGTTGGACAAGAACACAATCATTCGCCAAGCCTCGATTCCCGCCAGGGATTTGAGAATTTTGGGCCCTATCTTCTCTCACTCTTCCACTATTCTCGGTAATTTTTTCTTTCTTTCTATTTTTCTATTTTAGTTTTGCTATGTGATGGTATGGTTCATTATAATGGTAGCAAGTTAAGTTAGATTTCAATTTGATACTACTGTTCAATTTGAGGCTTGTGTGCGTGTGCGTGTGCGTGTGTTTTAATATTTCATAGATTACTCGATTAATCTGAGTTGAGCCATTGATTAAGTTGGAATGATCGATTAATATTTGATTTGGTGGTGTGTTTTTATTTTTTTAAATGAAGTTTCATGGGTTAAACTAATGACATGATAATGTTTTATATTAATTATTTATATATTTTTATGTAAACTTCAGTTGTTATGAATATGATGAAGATTCTGTTCTTTGCAGCTAGAGAGAAAGCAATGGTAGTGAATTTGGAGTTTATAAAGGCTATAGTCACAGCTGAAGAAGTGCTATTGCTTGATCCTCTTCGTCAAGAGGTTCTTCCGTTTGTTGAGCAACTCAGGCAACAGCTTCCATATAAGAGTCAAAGTAAAGTTGATGGAGGTGCTGCAGATGAACAAGAAAGTGAGATGCAGCTGGTTTCTACTGGGAGACAATGGTTACCATTGGCTGAGGTTTCTGAAGGTTTGCAGTCTGAGCTGCCATTTGAGTTTCATGTTTTGGAGATTGCTTTAGAAGTTGTGTGTACATATCTTGACTCAAGTGTGGCAGACCTTGAGAGAGGTGCTTATCCTGTATTGGATGAATTGGCTAGGAATGTTAGCACTAAGAATCTTGAACATGTGCGAAGTTTGAAGAGTAATCTTACTCGTTTGCTGGCACGCGTGCAAAAGGTATGCTTCATGAGTTATTCTTCTTAGTCCTGTTATTATCCCTTTGTTTCTGTTGTTACCTATAGAATATATATGGTTGTGGAGGTTGAGAATTGGTAAAACGTGATGTACGCAAGTCTGATTTCTTTTTATGCAAGGTAGTTTATTGAACTGGCGAAGAAGTAAGTGAAAGGCACCTTTTTATGAGAGTTTCTTCTATTATTAAAGTGCTCAGATAATTTTTTTTTAGTTATTGTACACTGAGATGGTTGAAGATCTTACAAACAGGTAACATTTAATTCTCAAACTTGATGAGTTACGACTGATACAATATGCATCAATAATGCAATCCATAAACAAAGAAGGAATACTTATTTCTTTCCTTCAAGTTTAATTGTTGAGTTTCCTTTGTTACTGTTCAATAGTCAGTCATATTATGCTCTCAAATAGGAAAATCTATAATCGAGGCCGATGGTCTGTGTTTTATAAAGAAAATTTATAGCAGGCTGATCAAGGGAACTTCTACCTGATGATGCATTCCATAATAGTTAAGTTAAATCATACTTAGTAAGTCTATGGCCCCACTTTTACAGATGCGAGATGAAATTGAACATTTATTAGATGACAATGAAGATATGGCACAGCTATATTTGACAAGGAAGTGGTTGCAGAATCAGCAAATTGAGGCTCATTTGGGTGCCACTAACTCAAATAACGTTTCTAATACTGCACCCATTGTTCGTCGAATTGGTTCTAACAGAAGTGGAAGTCTAATGACTAGCAAGTTTGGTGATGATAATGATGTGGAGGATCTGGAGATGTTGCTTGAGGCATATTTTATGCAGTTGGATGGAATTCGTAACAAGATATTGTCCGTAAGTGTTCTTATTACCGTATTCTGGTCAAACCATTTCTTGTCCAAGTTATTGAAACTATCATTCTGTCCAATCTATACTATGCTCTCATACTTTTAGATGATAAAATATCACATACGCATATATGGTTTGAATATATGACTTGGTCTAGACAAACTTAGGTAGTGTTTGGCACACAGACAAAACGGAATAGAACGGAATGGAATGAAACAAAAAGGTTTGGTTCTGTTCTTCTTCTTGGTTCCACCCTTTTAAGTGGAACCAATATACCATTTTTTTAACCTCAAATCTTATTCTGTTTTTAAAATGCACCACATACTTGTCCATTTCTATCACGTCTACCAAATGGCTTGGATAGAACGGAATGGGATGGAACAATGTGGAGTGGAACCAAGGTGTCCCATTGTTTTTTAGCCTTATGTCATACTCTGATTTATTTTTAAAATGTACCAAACATCGAGTAGAACCCTAAGTCCTATTGTGTCCCATTCTAACACGTCTAGTCTTCTACCAAACGCACTCGTAGTTGTTACTTTGTGATTGCTAATGACACCCCCCCCCCCCCCCCTCCTTCTCTCTCTCTCTCTCCTTGTTTTGAGGATGGAGAAGAGGGGGTTGTTGCTAGCTTCAAAATTGATGCTACTGGGAGCTTGCTCTTGGGATTCTTAAGCTTCCAGAAATTAATTCAATCCAGCCCTCAATAGGGGCTAGAAATTTTTGTTAACATAATTTTAGAGATTGCGCTTATTGGAAATAGGTACTGGTAGTTTTGTACAAGTTTGTTTTACTTTGGGATTTAGGAAATATACTACGAGACTTGGATGTTATCTCATTTTGTCATTGTTGAGGAGTGGTATGTTCCTACTTCTTTTTGGCTATTGATTTACAGGTTAGGGAATATATTGATGACACAGAAGACTATGTCAACATCCAACTTGATAACCATAGAAATGAACTAATTGAGCTGCAGCTGACATTGACCATTGCATCATTTTCCATTGCTATTGAAACTCTGATTGCTGGTGTATTTGGCATGAACATTCATTGTTCACTATATGAGAAAAAGGGCATATTTTGGACCTTTGTTGGGAGTGTTTCTGCAGCTTGCGTACTGCTTTTCCTGCTTGTTTTTGCATATGCAAAATGGAAAAAGTTGCTCGGATCATAAGCATACTTCGTTATCAGCTGCAGCTGTGTTGTAACAATTGACTAGATGAATCTCAGTAGTCAGTGATATCTAAAGAGAAGATAGGAACTAGGCCCCAAAAACTTTGGCTTATGAATCTTGTATCTCAATGTCACAATTCTATTAGCTGATGTCTAGGATGTTCCAATATTGCTTTCGACATTGTGTACTTCATAGCTGATACTATTCACACAGGCATTTTTCATTTTCCAACTGAAAGGTGCCAAATAAAATGTCTTTTTTTCGGCTTGATCAGTTTATATATGCATGTCGATTGCATGAGGAACATTGTGGTGGACTTTATGAGTAGCTGGCGGCATATTAAATTAATTTAGTAAATTGTGGTTAATTCATTATTGAACTTTGCTAATCACTCTTTTGATTCAATAAGCTACTTTTGATTCATTTAGCAATTGCTGTTATAAGGCATGTGACTCTACAGTAAGGTGTGGGAATAAAAAAAAAAACACAATAAACAGGCCATGACCATGAGCTGACAAATGGACTAACTTAAGGAAAATTGTGACTTCTCAGTTCACACGAAATTTATTGTTCTCTTGCCTCTTGGTAGTATTAGAGAGTCAGGGACTCGAGGCATAATATATCATAGGGATGCAGGTAAATACGCAAATACCGACATGGTGATGATGAATAATGTATGGTATTATTGTTATGAACAATTCTTAAAGTAAATGCTATTTCGCAATAAAACTTTTGTACGAAATGTGTAATAATCAAAATGGTTGACGATTTGGATCCATTAAATCAACTATTTCTCTGATCGGTCTGATCCTCAATTCTACTTTTATTTTTTGGTAGAGGTCAATTATACTTTTCGTCGGAATGGTACAGGCTGACATCACATTTTAACCTAAAATCTAAAGGTGATAGGTTTATGAGATTTTTGCACTTATATAGTCATCACTTAGATTATGTCTAGCCGATGTGCTACTTTTTTAAAACTTATATTTAAATACTTCCAACGTTCTTAGAATAAACAAGTACCAATATCAAAGTTTAGAATAAACAAGTACCAATATCAAAGTTTAGTCCGTGTGTTCAATTTTCTTAACTTCCCAACGAATCCAAAACCATCTATGTATGACTTCTCACTTCTCTAGTTACACTCAAATTATAACTAGGTTGATACACTCTTCAGCTTGATTCTCACATCTTTAGTATCCTCCTTCACTTTGTCAACACATTCACAAGTGAGAAATACAAATGAATAATAAACTCAATCAACTAGTTGAAATGTTACCAGTAACAAGATATAAACAAACTCACATAAACCTAAATAACGAGTAATAACTAAAAACTAAGAGCAAAACGAGCAAATCCAATTAAATTCTCATGCTCTTATCAATCTTTAAGTACAATAAAGAGAATAAATAACTCTGTTGGGTCTGGTTTTGGAGTAAAATCTCATTCCCCTACTAAAATTAAAAATATGTAGACTCATTTGTCATTAAAAATAAAGAAGTCCGTTGTAGCTGATGCTTACCAGAACTGAGAGTGATAGAAGAGTATAGATTGAGGAAGAAGGAGAAAAGGGAGAGAGAGGATTTGACAAAAAAAATTCATTATTTTCATTAGTGTTGTCGAGTGATATATATACCCACTACACTAGCGGGGTTTGTAACAGAAAGCTAATAATAAATTCAAAGGAAAAATTAATAACATAATAATAAGGAAAATATCAGGATGATATAATATGTGCTAAGCATAAGGTCCAACCATCACATGGACAGTGGCATAGCCACATTAGAACCAATAAGTGCCTTGACACTAGCTCGTTTCCAAAATCATAAGTAAATCTCATTTACTTCTTACATAGCTGTTAGCTTTAGTACTAACTTCCTCTAAGATTGACTTTTTGGCTCCATGAATGCACATGGATTATGTCCAACATCTCTTGGGCTAGCATCACTACATCCAACATCCCTTGGACTAGCTAGCATCGTTACATCCGTGAATTATGTGTCTCTAATTTTAATAAATTTATCGCATAGTTGTCAAAATTACAAAAGTACTAAAAAATTATGGGAAAAGTATTTCTCCAGCTCCAGTGAGCTCAAAACGACGTCGTTTTGAGTTGTAAGATTAAAAAATTATAATGACAAAGACTAATATAACCCTGCAATATATTATAATTACAAAAATATCTTGACTCTCGTTTTAAAATAACGTCATTTTAAGCTCACTGGAAATAACTTTTTCTCCGGTGATTGGAGAAATCCTTTACCCCAAAAATTATCCCCAATTTTAAAAAACAATATCATGCTTTTTTCATATCATAAAAGTCATTAATAATAAAACTAGTATTATTTACGCTAGGATAAATATGTTTTCGGCGATTTGTTAAAATAAATATAATTCAAATTTAGTAATAGTATCAAGTTGACTTAAAAAACAATTAACAAATGAAATATATTAAAGATTCAATAATCATGCATAATAATTAATTAGAGTTTTGCTCAAAGTGAATAACTGTATCTCAATAAATTAACAATGGATGCATGTCAGATCATATGCACCTATTATGATGTAACATAGTAGGTAGGTCAATGATCCTTTGCATGATAATAATAAAAATAAAAATAATAATAATATTGTAGTCTTTCTCCGTTGAAGTCAAAGTTAATGTACTTAACAAACAGAGGATCGAGTGAGTACAGAAAAGGAAGATCAAATAAGAAAATCAAAGTTTGAAGAAGAAGAAGAACATCACTAATGGGCTAACGGACCTTTCCCCTTCTCCTTTCGTCGCTCAACTCCCCGCTGGCGGAAGAGAATGTCGACGATGTTGGCACGGTGACCAAGAATCAAATATTTCTGGTTGATGATTATATGCTCTTTTTTCAATCTTAAATTTTTTATGCTGTATTCATTTTGAAGCAAGCAAAAGTCGGAATTTCTTAGGTTAAGATTTCCAATGAAAATTTTAATTTTGTATTTATCTCCTTTGGGGTTATGTTAAAATTTATAAATGTTTACAGAGAGAGATAGAGACAAAATTGTGAAATTTTAACTTGAAAATATCTAATAAATTACTCAATTACTTATCTTATTAGTTGAATTAGCCAACTAGCTGAATTAGCGTTTCAAAATATTCTCATTATGTATCCAAAAAATAATAAAAAATATTCTCATTATGCTAAAAGATAATAGTGAAATTATGGCCTATGGGATTTATATTTTTCAAGTAAATTATTAATCATTTATTAGCTTTAATAATTTTGTAAGTTTTTATAACTGGAGATAGTTATAGCTTTTTGATCTTTTTGTCCCTCATTAATTAATTAATAATCATTTTGTCCTTTATTGAAAACTATCTACCAATCTGTCCCTCTTTAATCGATTAAATTGAATATTTAATTGATTAAATGGTCAAAACTGACAAAAATCATTGACTTGAAGATTTAATCGATTAAATATTCAACTTAATCGATTAAATCTTCAAAGATTTCATATGTATCTTCACTCTCCAATGCGGACGAAGTATTCGGTGTATTGTTAGCGGGTTCTCGTGGTTCAATCATACATCTATCAATCATTACTTTTCGTTTTAGATTTATATTCATTATTTACTCCACTTTTAAAAATTAGTTAATGGTGTATTGTTAGCTGTTTGGGGTTTACACTTCACTGAATAAATATCGTTTTAGTTGAATTTTGTTTCATTGGAGAGTGAAGATACATATGAAATCTTTGAAGATTTAATCGATTAAGTTAAAGTTTTAATCGATTAAATCTTCAAGTCAACGATTTTTGTCAGTTTTGACTATTTAATCGATTAAATATTCAATTTAATTGATTAAAGAGGAGCAGATTGGTAGATAGTTTTCAATAAGGGGCAAAATGATTATTAATTAATTAATGAAGGGCAAAAGGGTTAAAAAGTCATATAGTTATACTTTGTTTTGGACTGTATTAAGTCTCTATTTTTAACGTAGTTGCGCATTATATATTTTGTTGATATGTCTATATTTATTTGTTCTCGGCTAGTGTTCAAATCTTTAGAGCTCCGGAGGTGGAAAGATAAGATAACAATAGATACTATAAGAGAATTGGATAAGAGAAATATAATATATGAACATGATAAACTCATGTCTTATTCAGTGTTTGGGTTGAACCATATGATGTTATAATATGATATAAATAGATTGGAATACCCCTTAATAAAATTTTATATGATATTTTAAAATTGATTTTTTAAACTACTCTTTTTTTACTTATTTACACATTATTTCTTATTTTAAATTATTAAAAAAATTTAAAAGTTATAATTTTAAATAAAATATATTAAAATACATAAATAACTTTTAGTTTTTTTAAAATATTAAAAATTATATCCTCACCAAATAATTTTTATAATAAAGTTTTAAAAATTGTCTTCCATATTATATGTACATCGTTCAAAAATTATATTTCATTTGACTACTAACTTCTGCATCATTCAAAAATTATGTTTCATTCAAGAATCGTGCTCCATTTTTTCAATTAAAAAATCATGTAAAGAGTATTATAGTGTTGATTGAAAGCATCTCATGCACTTTACACTAGTAATCATATTTCATTCAAGAATCATGCTTCATTTTTCAATTCAAAAATCATGTAAAGAGTATTGTAGTGTTGATTGAGGACCAAAGCATCACACGCACTTTACACTCAATAGTGAGTCCACACAACACTTGTGTTTTTTCTTCACTCTTATTTGCTATTGGGAAGGATCACTCTTCAAATATTCACTCTCCTCCCTTTTTTTGCACACCATCCATCAAACTACTATGTTGGTTGAAATTTTAAGAATTTTAAGAATATGGTTATCTTGCAAGACCAAAGATAATGGGCATGTATTCATCAGTCATGTATTTTGATGTTAGGGATGATAGAATAGAAAATGTGGTTTTCTATTTTTTCATCCCTAATATCAAAATATTTATGGTTATTTATGAAATCATTTTTCACTGGTCATTTGCAGCGGCAAAGTCACTTGTTTGAGTTGTTTCAAGGCACCAGCTGATTTTCAAAAAATATTACATAATTTTTTTTTCATCTTATTAATATTTTTTATTTTTATCTCATATATTTACAAAACCTATCACATCCATTCCAACTAGTATCAGTATAGATGTTGATGGAAATCGTTGCAGAGTATTTTGCAAGCATACACAATTGACATTATCCGGCTACTATTTTTCTTGAATTAATATTATGCATGGATGAATCAATGAGTTTTATACAAATTTGGAACAAAATAAAATAATATAGATGTATGTATGACTTTTCACCCAAAAAAATAAAATAAA